TGATAACACTCCAGTTAGGCCCCTTGGGCACAAACCATGGCAGGACACCACCAACCACTGCCCAGAACATGCTCATGATTGCTGAAAGTTATGTACCTGGCAATCCTGAAATTAATAATTTCGGAGGTGATTACTTTTAGGAGCCTTAAACTGTTTTTTTAGAAGTTTTAATTGTATTAGTATTGATATGTTTGCTGCCCTGGGCTACTCTGGAAGAACGTGCAGGGTATACATCTAATAAATAAATAATATGCATTGTCTTGAACTCCTTGAAAACAAATCCCCTTGCAATAGGTGGCTCAGTTTGAATCATAGAGCTATTTGTTTTGCAAGCACCCTCAGGCCTAGGTGCCAGATTAAGACATTTTTATTTGCCCAGACATTTTAAATTGTTTTTATGGTGTCTGTTCTGCTTAGTAGTTTTGCATTTATGTTGCCTCTCAGTTTTATTGTTGTTTAAAGGACGTTATTATATTGTATTTTTATGATTGTGCATTACCCTGGAAGCTGTTGAATGAAGGATAGTTGAGAATATATTTTTTAAAAATAACTAACTAAAAAAGAGTGAGAATCCTTGCACTTACCTTGTTTGGAAGAAGAACAAAACTTGGCATCCCATGTTTTCTCTCAGGTCATCTTAGTGGATTCAATACTGCATATACATCTGCACTACATGCAGAATTTTTCTTTGAATCAATTGCCATAGACTTAGACACCAATATAATCTAGCGGGATTATTGTTCAAGATTGTTCCTTCCCTGGTTATTCCAACCAAATAAATAATAATAATAATAATAATAAACCATTCTACTGAGCTTGTTTTGGGATTCCTGTCTCCCTTACAACTAGTCTTTCTAAAATCCATTTTAAACTAAATAGCTTCATAAAAGGCCCATTGTGAAAAGTAATTGGTTTGTGGGACACCCCAATAAAAATAATAAAGAGACTGCCAAAGGCAGTTTCCTGAGGTCAATTATCTTTTTGTTCCTGAAAGTTGGCTAGTAGTCAGGTCTAGCATTCAATTTTACAGATATGTTAATCAGTTTCCAGGTGGTGACCTACAAATCTGACCTCATCAACTGCCATAGGAAAAACAAACCATCAGAGTAAATTCTTCAGGCTATAAACAGTGGACACGTGCACCTTGACAATCACCTCACTGAAACAGTGCACAAACTCACCTGAAAACAGACATGGTAGTGACATGTTGTGTGGTTAGCCTGGAATTCCAATTTGGTACTCAGGTTACCCTGCATGTGTTGCATCTTTGGTAGGTATCTCAGGAAACCATTTCCTGCAAGGACAGTGGTTCTTGATTGACATAATACTGTTCATTTAAATGCATGCACATTCTGAATTACCACTTACTAATGAAATAAACTTTCTAGTAAAGGTAAAGGGACCCCTGACCATTAGGTCCAGTTGTGAAGGACTCTGGGGTTGCGGCGCTCATCTTGCTTTATTGGCCAAGGGAGCCGGCGTACAGCTTCTGGGTCATGTGGCCAGCATGACTAAGCCGCTTCTGGCGAACCAGAGCAGCGCACCGAAACTCCGTTTACCTTCCCGCCAGAGCGGAACCTATTTATCTATTTGCACTTCATGCTTTCGAACTGCTAGGTTGGCAGGAGCAGGGACCGAGCAACGGGAGCTCACCCTGTCGCGGGAATTCGAACCACCGATCTTCTGGTCAGCAAGCCCTAGGCTCTGTCGTTTAACCCACAGCGCCACCCATGTTCCAAACTTTCTTGTAAGGAGGGGCAAAACCAAAACTGTTCTAAAACTGGTCAGGTGACAACTGGGTTTGCTATCAATGAAACTGATTGTTCAATGTACTTTGGCCAGAAAGAAAGGGAGAGAGGGAGCTTCTAAGTTGTGCTAGCATGTTGCAGTAAAGCATTAAAATAGTCCTGTGCCTCTAAGGGTAGCCCTATTATTAGACAGAATTGATGTGGGTGTCATGAAACGGCACCAATTTGTAACTTTAAAATTTACTACTGATGCATTTTTCTTTCCAGAGAGGGGTGCTTGTGGGGTTTTCTCTCTCAGGTGCCACCATAACTTGCCAACCTGCACCTTGACTTAGAGATACAGCAGCACAATTTGCTGTTCTGTCTCCTGAATAAAAATACCCTCAACTGGCCCCAGGTGCCCCCTCAAGGATCAACACATTTAATGTGGCAAAAGTGTTCATCTTGTCTACAAAAACTCATGCCAAGATAAATTTGTTAGCTATTAAGAGCTCACTGGATATTTTGGAATAGTGTATTCTGAAGGGGATCTAATCACAGAGTTGAAGGTATTTACTACAGACCTCAGCATATTCATCTAATCCAAACCACACTTTGCCACATGCTGAGAAAATGTCACAGAGGTAAATAAAACAGACAAAGAATATTAGAATTGCATTCTGGGCCTGGAGCTGAGTTCAAGGGATACCAATGTGAAAAGGTGAAAGGTGCCGAAAGCACACACTGCTCACAGTAAGGTTGGCTTGCTGGCAGATGATAAAGGCAGATGGAAAATCACTTACCCTGAAGCACTGAAGTAAATTACGAGAGAGATCCCCTGAGAAGACATGAGGTGAAGCTCTTGATCAGAGAAACAACACTGGCATGCATTTCCCCTTGATACTCCTTGATTTGAATTTTCAGTTTTGTAAAGGGCACTGGGTTGACAGCCCTAGAAATGTGCATCTGTTCCTTTATAAAGCAAGCAGTGTTGAGATGCTGGCACTTACCTGCTGTCCACATGGCCCCAAACCAGACTCCAAACCTGACAGCTTCATCCCCCTCTTCACCTTTATGTCCATTCCCTAACGTTTGACCTTTAATTATAGTCTAATGAATGAGGTACTTTTCTGAGCAGAAACTGCTTTATAGCAATTTTCCCAGAAATGAGCTCAACAAATGTGTCTTGTTTGTTTTTAAAAAGATACCCAGCACTTTTTACTCCCACTTTTGCCCCTAACACCCTTTGGAAATGGCACTGTGAAAGTCTCACACCATATTTCAAAAAGTAAAAGCCAGGACACACGGAAAGTTGTTGAGTTTTTTAAGAAGACCCCGAAATTGTCGGAGTTTCTTTTATATACAAAAATGCCAAATTGACTTGCCTTTGAAATCCTGGTAATGCGGATGTTTGGCAGCCCTAACAACATCTGTGTGACAAAATCAGGCTGCCTGTATAAGCTGTCCTGCATCATCCATCACTTTTTGACATGTGAGAATAGCCAGCTGCCATTAGGAGCCAGGTAAGAAATTTTGGGGTGACTGCTGAAACCATCTTTTTTCACCTACTCCATACTGCAAATCTGAAGAGTTGTTGATCAATTCAGTTGGCTTTTCCAGCATAACAGGCATGTAGTGCAGCCATGGAAGGGGACTTGGCTTCACTTCAGTGGTGAGCACTGATGTTTACCCACTCCCATCATTATAGCTGACCAACCTTGTGAAGAGTGGATATGGTGTTGAGGAGGCCATCCCTCTGAATGCTAGACTGCAGGGGGAGATGGGTCTGCTCCTTAGCTTGCTATCAGGGCACTGATCACTGATCAGTTACCAGACAGGTTAGAGGTGCTGAACATGGATGGTACAGGAAAAAGATGTTACTCTTCACTAAGGGAGATGACCCACACTTTTTCTAGTTTTTCCCCTTGCAGGTCTTTAATTAAATTGTGACCTTTAACCTCAAAACCAGTCTCACATGCTCATTGCTGGTGTGGAAGCAGTTTGACAGTTTGCATTTTGTAGATATGAATTGCCAAATAAATTAAGTAATTTGACCAAGAAAAACCATTCTCACTGTGGAATGATTGAAATCCGAACCCCCATATTTCTATTTGAGCACTTATTTAAGTGGGCTGCAGCCACACATCACAAACCCCTTTCCTTTTTTGCAGAACATCAGCAAACACAGCTGACTGTAACAAAAAAATTATTCATATTCATCCAACCTTAAAATCTGCTGGGAATGATCCAGCTGAAGTAAAGCACTTTTCAGCTTGCTCATACATATGCTTCCTCTGAAGTTTAATCCTCTTGAGTTGAAAAGAATTTCCTTCCTGGTAAGTTTTATTAGGAACTGTAGCCTTACAATTTCCACTGACTTAGCACATGATTGCCTATCTCAGTTGAAATCAACAGAGGTTAAAAGTGCTTTTCTTTAGCTGGATCATGCTGACATTATACAGGACAATGACTCAAATATCCTTGGAAAATATGAGCTCACTAGGAACCTGAGATGACGTTTCAGTTATGCTTTTGCTGCTTTCATTAGCAAAAGGGTCAAGGTGTAGGGGGAAATGAGAGCAATGATATGCTAAAGTCAGCATACATCCTTTTATCCTACGAGGAGCCACCTGTCTATACAGAAACATGCCAGATTACCTGCTGGTATTAATAAACTTAGCTTTGTTGACTCTGGTGGCATTGTGCCAGGGTAAAGCAGCTACACCTTCAACTATGTATTGTTCCAATTTGTACTGAATGGAGACAAATTTCATTATAAAGAAAACAAAATAATCACATATGCATATAACAGCATTTTAAGAAAGTTGGGAAGCTGTTTTGGGAAAGAATATAAAAAAACCAACATGTGTAAGGGCTTACCCACACAGCTGGTTCAGATGTTCTTTTTCTGACTGCATTTAATTCACCAGTGCAATATTGGTAAGATGGTTGCTCCAACCTAAATCAGTCTCTGCTGGTCCATGCAGCTGATACAGCAAAGATACTAGGAGTTGTACATTGCATATTTTGTTTATAGTGAGTTGATTGTTATGATGGTAAGAAAATGTAAAGAAACATAATTTTAAGTATTCACTAGTATCTTCAGGAAACAAGACACGAAAGACAGATACCCTAACAAGAATAATAATTGCTTCAGAAATTAAAGACAATGGCAATTCCTCCAATAACTAAGTATCTTTGTCCTTTATATAAAAGCAAATGATTCCCCATCACAGATTACTTGATTTCTGTGAAATAAACACTTAACATTAATAGTTTTCCAAAGGGGCTTTAATATACAATTCTGTATTCCACCAAACAAAAGATCAATATCTCTGGAAAGTTTTTTTTAATGAAATATTTATCAGGCTTTCTCCTGGGAGTTTTTCATCCCTGAGGCAAGAATACATCAAAGACATTTTATTTTAAACTCTTATCCCCATTCTTCAGTACCTCACACATTGACATTATTAAATGGCTTGCTAATGAATGTTAATTAAATCTCTTTGGTTGAAAAGGTTTTGGTGTGGGGAGGTATTATGTAAAATGTAAACAATCTTTAAATGTTGCAGAACTAAATCAGTGTCTTCCTTTTAACAGGTACGAAAATGTAAGGTTGGTTATATTTCGACTCTATATTTGATACATGAGAAACAAATTAATGAAAGATAGGCATAATCTAAATGTACAGTCAAAGATGTTGCCATCATACTAGCTATCTAGCATAAAAAGGAAATACATTCACCAGTATGTTATCGCATACCTTCCCAATGTTCCTAATCAGTTTTGAGAATGTTTAACACTATGACTTTAAACTTTCACAGATTAATGTTGTTCCGATAAAGTGATGAATTCTAAGCTTTATATTTTCTTAAGCTAAATTATTAGCATTCTAGTTATTTTTCATGTTTTTTCATGCTGAAGAAGAGGTAGTTTAAGCCAATATAGATATGGATCTTTTACAGTTGATTACAATTTTATATGCAATGTATTTACTTGGAAGCAAGTATCACTGATTTCAACTGAACTTACTTCTAGTCTTGAGTACTTTGAAGTACAACAAAAACTGTAAAATCGAAATATCTGCTCCAAATATATCTATAGGATGGGGAGTGACTTCATTATGTGCAGCATTCAACTAACTGGGCATAAAAAATAGCATTGCCTATGCCAGAATGCTACCTTTAATGAAAGAACACAGTAACCTCGAAGAAATATTTTGCTACAAATTATTTTAAAAACCATAATATTATTTAATCTGTATTCAAAAACATTTTAGTTCAGCTGGACATGCCAATGTCTCTTTTCCATTCTAGTGGATGAGGTTTAATGATGCAATGGTGTTAGGCTACAATTTTGGGAGGTGGGTTGCTAAGTGGGAAACCACCTCCGGTGAAGCGTGAAGCTCTGGCTCTCGTTCCTTGGTAGTCATGCTCTATGTTACTCAAGGCTCTCTCCTTTTCCCTTAGGGATGGAAGTAGAAAAGAAAGAAAGAAAGAAAGAAAGAAAGAAAGAAAGAAAGAGGGCATATTATTACATTTTTTATCTCAGTATCATTTTGAAAAGTTCCAAAAGTTTTAATAGCAGCAATAGCTCTATCAGGAGATCATTAAAAATAAGTTGATGAAAGCTTGTTTAGCTAAACAACCACAATCAGATGCCTGTTTGGATCTAATTAGGGGACTGCTTATGGTACGCAGAATTATTAAAAATTAGAACTAAATGAGCTCTCCTAATGTTACCCTCTCAAAATGGTCACAGTTTCTCATTAAAAGAATAATAAATGTAAGACTTGGAATTTCTAATCTTGGCACTGTTCCTCCAAATGATTATTTGTTTTTCAAATAAAAAGCTGAAATCATCAAAGGCAAAAAAGGGATTTTTCCCCCCTTTGTTGAATTTTAATGAAGAAATTGTGTTAGCCATTTTCACCATTTAACAGACTTATAGAGATAATTATCCAGTTCTTTTTACACAAAGCCAACACTGCCTATATAACTTTGAACTGATAGGTGTGACCATTAGACTTAAAGCCATAGGAAGAACAATCACAACTTGAATTTAGCAGCCTTAAGAGAAAGCAGCATAGTTTAACTATCAGATATTTAATGGGGGGGGGGGGCCAGGAGAGCAATGTGAAAGACACATTTTCCTGAACTGAGATGTACAACTACATAAATGGAGCAAAATATTCAAACAAATTTATCAGATCACTGTAAACTGGTGGTACTAAAGCACAAAAATGCTGTATTATATTTTTTTCTAACAATTTAAAAAAAAATTTGGACTTTTTATGGTACAGATCAAAGCCTCAAAAATGTCTGAAGCTAACAATAGGTTGTATGTATCCAGTGCTAGTTATCCCCAAAGCATACCCACTAAAATTAATGGGCATGTCTCACCTAAGGTCCATTACTTCCACTGCATATATTTTGAGTAGAACTTAGTTGGATACAACCCTATGGTTCAAAAAACTAAATAGTTTCCTGGAGAATATTTTAAATTTGCTTCCTAGTAAATGTTTTCTTTTAAAAAGTAATTCAAGGACTGTGGCACTGAGGAAAAGAGAAAGGGTGAGATTGTTGCAAGCATGTATGCAACTGCACCAAACTCTCCTAAATAATGACTAATGTGCTGTGATCCAAACATGCAACAGAGAGCAAGAAGCAAAAGGGAGCTTATGACGATTTTCTGTAGCAGTCCCACAATCATGCCCTACACTGCAAATTTATTCAAGCTGTAATAGACACTGGACTATATACTACACTAGAAAGAAGTAGCTAAACATGTCCAGGTCCCCTTGACTACATGACTATTTTGGAGGCAGAAGGAAGGGGAAGGAAATAATAAGAAAAAAATAAAAATAAAAAAGAAGAAAGGAGATAGCATAATTCTCCTTTCTGGACTTATAAACATAATTTACTATGGAAGTGGCATAAAACTGACAAAAAATGAAAACCTCATAGTACTGTATGTAATACTCATATATATCTAGGCGTAACTCTATTCCTTATAGATGGTCCATTGCCCTTTAAAAATATAATAGTAGCAGGAAATGAAATTCTAGAAATAAAATACGGCAGAGTGAATTTCTTCCCCTGTAATGCTGAAATGGAAAAGCAAAGCCCAGGGTTCAAATTCTAAAGATTATAGCTGTTTTCAAAAGGACACTTAGCTGTTGGAAATGGATCGCTAGACATTATGGTAGCTTTGTGTATTGATCATAAAGCCCCAGGAAGGCCATTAGGCACGAACAATTGTTGCTAATTCCAAACATCAAGGCAACATTATGCCATTTGCAGATGGGCAGAGGTCGCCTTTGATTGCTGACTGTTTTGCTAATTCAGTCATCAGAACTGTTTGCTATCTAAAAACATGAAGTTCGGGTGGTAAAGGAAGTAACTAGTTTGAAATCAAATTCCATATTTCTAAATGGGTACTAGTGCAGGTTCTAAAAATCACGTTCTAGCACAGGAAGGAGTGCTAGAAGGAATATATTAAATTATTTGAACTGCCCAATGCACATCTAATTCATAGATGGGGAGAAGCATGATTGCAAAAATCAATACTGGTGACTGAGAACAGAATCAAGAGACTATTAGATCAGGTAAATAGCGTGTACATGCAGCTAAATAGGCATGTGTGTGATCACATGAAGTTCTAAACATGGGGTTTCTCTCATGTTAAGTGGTTTCTGCATAAGCAAATTGTGATGTTTGAATGATTTTGAATTGACAGGTGTGATCTTGAGAATTTCCAGAAGCAGGGATGGTCCAGGGCATGGGTAGGCAAACTAAGGCCCAGGGGCTGGATCTGGCCCAATCACCTTCTAAATCCAGCCCACAGACGGTCTGGGAATCAGCATATTTTTACATGAGTAGAATGTGTCCTTTTATTTAAAATGCATCTCTGGCTTACCGTATTTTTCGCTCTATAAGACACACCAGACCACAAGATGCACCTAGTTTTTGGAGGAGGAAAACAAGAAAAAAAATATTCTGAATCCCAGAAGCCAGAACAGCAAGAGGGATCGCTGTGCAGTGAAAGCAGTGATCCCTCTTGCTGTTCTGGCTTCTGGGATAGCTGCGCAGCCTGCATTCGTTCCATAAGATGCACACACATTTCCCCTTACTTTTTAGAGGGGAAAAGTGAGTCTTATAGAGCAAAAAATATGGTATTTGTGGGGCCTGCCTGGTGTTTTTACATGAGTAGAATGTGTGCTTTTAAATAATAATAATAATAATAATAATAATAATAAATGCATCTCTGGGTTATTTGTGGGCCATAGGAATTCGTTCATTTTTTTTTCTTCAAAATATAGTCCAGCCCCCCACAAGGTTTGAGGGACAGTGGACCAGCCCCCTGCTGAAAAAGTTTGCTGACCCCTGGGTCCGGGGTTTTGTAATATGTAGCTAGTTTTGGAAGACTGACTATATACTCTGTTCAGATTCCCATGTGAAGGAACAAAGCCCTCATCAATGAGAAACAGCAAAGCAGTTATTGGCATCCGTCTGTCTCGAGAGACAATGGAGTGCGCCTTCTGGGGTGAAGTCAAACTGCTAACACCCCATACACCAAACAAAGCAGTGATGGGATGCAATTAAAATATGTCTGGAAAGAGCAAACTCAGAGAGGAATTCAGCATCAAGCTATTATGATCATTACGTCAGTGCAAACATTTTTTCTTGGAAGATGAAATGATCTCCCCTTTCCTTCCCCTACAGCCAATTTGGGGGTGGAAGTGGGTGCACGAGGTATGCACAGGGGAGAAGGGGGGAGCCCTGTTGCACTAGCAGGACTCATTGCACTGTCTCCTGCTAGTGCAACTGTTTACTTGAGTCTGGACCAACATAAAAAGACCAGAACAGAAATTAAATGCAGGGGGGAAGAGGGCAGGATGTGGCTGAAAAAAAGAGTTGCAATTAAAGGATTAAGAAAGCCGGGCACTGACATGGAAAAAGAGATAAAACTACACTTGGGGGAATTTTCACACAAGTGACTTACAGAAAGTACTCAATATTTGGCAATTTCACATATCTCACCAGGGGAACATGTATCTACACACATGAGATTGCTGTCATAATCCGATCTCAGCTGGGCAGTAATTTATTATTAAATAATGTAATTATGTAATGGTAATATCACTTACTTGTTTTCATGTTCCTTGCGTTTTTGGGTGAGGTATTTCTTCTTTACATTTAGAAGCTCATTGGCAAGTCTTTCAATTTCATATTTGTATTCTTGACTCTGTGATTCATACATGTTCAATTCAGAAGACAAAACCTTAAAAAAAACCAAGAACAAACAAATGCCATGGGTGATTTGTTGTCTTCTTGTACCTATATGGCTTTTATAAATAATTGTTATTTAAACCTGTCCCTGCGCTGGGTAACAATTCTCTCATTCTGTATCACCATGATGCATAAATTTATATACTGCTTAATGTCTGGATGTTCGTAAGCAGTTTACAAAGCATAAAAACCAGTTTCACAACATGGTTAAAATACAGAATCATTAAAAGCATGCCATAATTAAAATACACAATACACAGCTTAAAATACACAATAAAACAATCATTTAGTTTCATTGATACCAATATTGATAGCAGTTATTATATACAAACTATTTCCATTTGCACAGCACATGAATAGATATACTATACTTACTGTGACATTCTGATAGTATGAAACATCTTTTGAGAAATTCAAGAACAATATTCAAGTGGCTTAAAAATAATAAGGCTTAGAAAAGAACAAATTTAATGTTTTGTACTTGTGTTTTTCTTTCTCTGAGTTGAATCAGACTAAGTTACAGAGTAAACCCCTGAAATTAATGCGCACGACTAACTTAGATTCAGGTAGGTGGCCGTGTTGGTCTGACGCAGTCGAAATAAATAATAAAAAATAAAAAATAGTCCACCAGCACCTTAGAGACCAACTCAGTTTGTTCTGGGTATAAGCTTTTGTGTGAGTGCACATTTCTTCAGATACCAATATTGAATATTGAATATTGTTCTTGACTATCTCAAAAGATTTTTCATACTATCAGAATGTCGCAGTAAGTATAGTATATCTATTCATGTGCTGTGCAAATGGAAGTAGTCTGTATGTAATAACTGCTATCAATATTGGTATCAATGAAACTAAATGGTTGTTTTATCGTATCTGAAGAAGTGTGCATGCACACGAAAGCTTATATCCAGAACAAACTTAGTTGGTCTCTAAGGTGCCACTAGACATTTTTTTTTTTATGACTAACTTAGGTCCATTAATGTCAATGGATCTGCTGTACCTTTGTTGGCTACAACTCTTTGACCACAAGCACAGACTGCTATTTTAGTTTCAAACATTACTCTATGAGCCCACAAACTTTAAAACAACCCAGACAACTAATTGGTGTGTTTTATCCAATGTCTCCGTAATATGTTGAGTACAAAAGCCAGCACAAAAACCTTAATAGTCATCTCCTATCCGAGGTATAAGCTGCAGCCTTAGTTATTACCACCTATGGCAAATGGGTATTACTTTTCATGCTGCTTTCCTTAGAATACATAAACAGGGACGGGAGGAGGGGAAAGAATGTACTCTATTGTATTTTCATGCAATGAAAATGAAGGAAGAGCACTACATTACATATTAGCTGTTGCTGGTTAACATGGTGCATCAAGCGGTTCCAGGAGGCATAAACAAGCTTTTCTCACCCAAGAAATCCTGCCTTAAAGTGACAAGGGGTTAAGAAAGATTACTCTTGTCAGCCCTCTAATAAGATGCGAGACTAATATAAGTCAATGCACCGTTAGAGAAAAATGAAGGATTTAGCAATGTTTTCTCAATCCGTTTCTGCTAGCTTGTTAAGGACAGAAGGAAAACTGTTTTGAGGGGGATGTTAAAAAAAAAAACTCATTTAAAAAGGAAATTAAGTCTCGTATAAAAATCTGGCAGCATCTCCAAAGACCCAAGTGGGATGCACATTTATAGTAATAGGCTGTAAATTTATGTTCTAATTAGATTTTAATTTCTTAATTTTATAAAAAAATATTATACCACGAAATGCAAACAACAATGTTAGGAAATTCATACAATAGCTTTCTTCAGAACTGTATGTGTAAAGAACTCATGGGCATTTCCCAAAAAGCACAGTTCATGTGATTCATAAGAATAGTCATGCTAAATTATGGATCACCAAACTTTATGATAGTGGCAGGTTTTTTCCCGTTCTGTTTCCTAATGATCCCAACATGGAATTTGCTTTTTTCAAAGCTGCCACACACATCTTTATCAAGTTATCCACTATGACCCCAAGTCCCATTCCTAGACAGTCACCATCAGTTCAGATCCCATTAGCATATATGTGAAATTAATCATTTCCCCCCTATTGTGCATCACTTTACTCTTGCTTACATTGAACTGCATTCTCTTTTTATTGCCCATTCTTCCAGTTTAGAGAGATCCTTTTGAAGCTCCTCACAGTGCATTTCCATTTTAACCACCTTGAACAATTTGCTGCTTCACTGCTCATTCCTAAGCACAGGTCCTAATGCCTGTCATTGTGGGAGCTCCACTTTCTACATCCCTCTGTTGGGAGAACTGTCCATTTACTCCTACACACTGCTTCCTGTTTCTTACCCAGTTACTGATTAATAACAGAACCTTTAGTCATTCCATAACTGCTAAGCTTACTCCGGAGCCTTTGGTGAGGTATTGTTTCAAAAGCATACAATATCAACAGGTTCACCTCTACCAATACGTTTGCTGACACTCTCAAAGAACTCTAAGAGGTTAGTGGTACAAGAACATAAGAACAGACTGCAGGATCAGGTGAAAGTCCCATATAGTCAAGCACTATGTAGTCCGAGTGGCCAACGAGCCCAGGGAAAGCCCACAAGCAGTGCAGCTGCGTTCTCTCTACCCAACAGCTGGTATTCAGAGGCAAACTGCCTCTGAAAAAGACTTTACCAAAAGCATGCTGCTTCTGCTTCGATATGTTACTCTGGAGAATTCTGCCTCTGAATTTGGAGGTCCCATTTACCTTTCTGGGGTGACAACATACTTGCAGTTCTATTCTTAAAGTACTTATCCATGAATTAAGAAGTATACCTCCAGGTTCAAAAGATTTTTCAGAACACAAGTCCTTATGTCCCTGACAATAATGATTTCCTACTTCCTGGGGCTACGGAGTACAATCTATCTATTTCTACACTCACTATTTATATAATGAATTATTGGAAATGACTCTTACTTTAAGTTGCTTGGTCTTCTCCCGCAGAGTGTGCCGATACAACTGCAACTGTTCTGCTGCTTCTGGTCCAGGCTGACGGGCCAAGAGGTGCTTCAGCTCTACATACAGTTTTTCCTTCTCCTAGGATGTAAGGTGAGATGAAACCAATTTGGAAGTTACGCTTGTCCACTTGCCACCTTAGAATGTATGTACAATCCAGACCATAAAGATTTTCATAAGCTAACTGTTTTTGTTTAGCTGTGGTGCTTTACTTCTTCTCAAACAAAAAATCGTATCTGCTGTCTTAGTAAATATAGTTTATCCTGAATCAATTCCTCCAACAAGTGAGTCCACTTATACCGATGAATCTATTTTGCACCTGTACTACACCAAGTGGCTCCCAGCAAGCATATGAAAATGTTGCACAGTATATTAATGAAAACTGTAAATCACACTGTAAGACAGTAATGAGGTAATCCTTTCTAATTTTCACAAGGTTTTACAGTTTAAAAACTGATCATTCTAAGATATTATTTATATTTTTATCCTAAAACATTTGCTCTGCCACTCGGTATCATAGTGCTTTTAAGCCAGCCTGCAAGAATAATCATATATAACATATATAACAATTAGCCAAGCACTAATATTCCAAAAACCGAAGAAAGCTAACAACATAATTAGAACAGGGCAGCACAGATTTAACAACCACCATACAAATACATAATTATATGGATAACTCATAGGCACAACACAGAACTTTTATCAAGAGCATATGTGAAAATACAAACATGCTGGCCTATAATGCTGATTCAAGCAAAATAGAAAAGTTTTACATCTTTTCACTGTTAATTTGAGCTGAATTTTGTGTCTTTTTCACTATAGTTTTGCGTCTTTTTAACAAAGTATGGCAAATGCATCTCAAACCATATGGTTCTACTTTTGCAGGTATTCATGTTTATTGAGGTAGCTAGTGCAGAACTCAAGGTTTGAGTTCACTGATTGCAGTTGCACTTTCATCCTTTTCCATAGGCTATATAATTGGGCTTAAAACCCCAGAGTGTTTAACATATCATATTGAAGAATACACTGCTGAAGATAAATTCAAATTCAATCCTTTGTTGTAATTTTTAAATTGATTTTATTATCTTTGAGGTTTTTTAAAACAATCAAGCTGTGTGTAAATTCTATAAAATAAATAATAATCCTAGCCATTGGCATTTTTTACATGCAGAGTTCATCTTGCAACACGCTTAAGATTTGCATTACCAAATCCACTCCTAATGTACCAGTATTCTATACTTAGTTACAATCACCTGCTCAAAATTAATATTCTGTTGAAACAACATAATGTTTGAAATATGCAATGATGTACTAACAAAACTGATTTAGTCTTCCCTAATTTTCATGATCTTGATCCTGCCCTTTCTTCAAGGTTTGAAAGAGAGGTGACTATGATAGTGATGTAAAACATGCCCTCACTATACAATTTTTGACAAATGCTGAAGACACACCACTTTACCCTGGCCATTGACACTATGCTTTTGGGACCCAAACTATTTTTGTGATTGCAATTTGTTTTAAACTCTCTGCGCTGTATTTTAAATTGTTGTGATCCACCCTCAGATCTTAGAGTGAAAGCGTGGTAGAATAATAATAATAATAATGTAGAGAATACTTGTATGGGTAGGAATCCATACACCTGCAAAACCTTTGAGTTTGGCCACTGCTGTATCCCAGTTTACTTAGACTTTTTTTTACATCAAAAAGAGTGCCAGCAATTATTTCACCAAGGGTCACCAAATCTGGTCTCCCTTTCATCCTACACAAAGTTCTTTTCGTTTCGGGCTTCCTGTTTCCGGTGCGCCAGGAATGGAGTTTCTCTCAACACAGCGGGAGACGGACAGACAGAGATAATCAGATAATGATGGAGGAACTTCATTATCTGCATTCCTCTTCGGTTGGAAGAGGATCCAGGCTCTCATCTGCCGTTTGCCTGGCACTCTGGCACTCGCTTCCCCATGAATGTGAGGGCAGGCAAAGGCACTGGGTGCATGGAGCACTCCGGCTGCTGCGACACACACACACACACCATCCTGTCCCTAGAAGCATAGCTTATCCTGTTAAGTGGACTTTAATTGGAGTAAACTACAGGCACATACCAGAGACGATGAGATAAGAAGCTGCAAAAACAACGCAGCTACAAGGATGTGAAAGGTTTGGATTGAGAGCAGATTTCATTCAGTGAAAGAGACGGTGGGGGGAAAGGAGCCCACGGTTTACTTACTCAAGTTTTTTCTCTACATTTATGATACGGCAACCCCCACCCTAGAATGCAAGTTTTATTTTAAAATATCAGCACAAGTGAGAATGGAATAAATTGGAATAGAATATGGAATTTAACAAAATTAGAAATTGGTATGTGAGAGAAAGGAACTGAGAGGTAAGGGGAGAGAGAGAAACGCTATGCTTTGAAAATTTAGAGCAAAATCCTCCCTAATCTCCATTATCCACAAAGGAATGTGTTTGAGATAAGGTTAAATGGTCATAAATCAGTGGAAGGGAGGAAATGAGCCTACCAGCTGCGAGAATAGAAGTTTCTTGATTGACTGTCTGGGAAAATGGTAAAGACGGCTTGTTTACTGGAAGCCAAATCACAGGATGAAGTGATGCAGTGACTTTTGGAAACTGTGAGATAACATGACGGGAGCCATCAACAGTTGCAGGAATAACGGATATACCACCTTATATGGATGGGGAAACATCATGGGGAAAATGGTCACATGCAGGAAAGAATAAGGAGTACAGCTAAAGTTCCTCACTTGAAAATTTATAAATTACCTATTATGCCAACACTAATTGAAATCACAAGGCTGTAGCTGTTATATAAGGGATTATTATATCTGGATGGAATGGAATGGAAATTATTAAAATTTTGGAATGCAGAAAAAATGTAGAAGAATGAACTCATCAACTCTAGCATGCGAGGGGGCTAGTTTAATTAAATCGTATAATTTGACATATGAATATTTGGCATTCTAATTGTATTAATTGGATAAAATTTGTTTTGTTATAATGAGGCTGTTATTGGAATGATATTGGAAAATCAATAAAAAATATTTTTTTAAAAAAAAAACAGTTCTTCTAGTTTCTCCCTGAAATGATAGATGCCGTAGTTAAACACTTTGCTGGAAGAAAGTCTTTCATCTTTGTCACTGATCTTTTATTCACATTTTGCATGGATTCTTTCTGCTTTAAATCCAGTCTCATTTTGCAATATTTGACAATGTCCTTACAATGTTCAAACAAAGTGGCTGCATCTTTCATGGTTTGCTTTGTGGCCAGTTAATCGGAAACTGAAAAGCAACATGACAGAGAAAAAATACAGTTGCTGAATGATGTCAAATATGCTTAAGGCCTTTTTAAAAAATGCTTTGAATTTTTCTTTTTGTTTGTGTATACATGAGAAACATTTTATTGCTGTTCACAAAACTATGCATAATTTTGTATCACTAACTGTCATGGGCTCCAGAGAGGTACACTTCAAACCCCAACCAAAGAAAGACAAAGAAACTCTAGGAATAAGTTGCAATTTACCATTTCTTTATCCCAGTTGGAATCTGTATTGGATTTAAAATAGTTTTCATATATGTAACTTTCAGCAGTTTTTATATAAATATGTTTTAATATATATTTTTATAAAGGTTTTGTGAAGTTGCCGCTTTGAGTCAAACTCAAAGAAGAACCATGGAAGTCAATGTATTTAAAGAACCTAAGTCTGTTAATTTCAGTGGGTCTACTCCAAATATGACTTAGTCAACCTAGAATCCCAGAATCTGTCTTAATACAGGTTTAGCACTTCATCAGACGATTTCTGTTCTATTGCAATTGTCTGTTAGAAATGAAGCCCTAAACTACGTACTAGTTTCTGGATTACCTTAAAAAATAAGTACTGCACAGTAAACAGACAAATATATTGGGAATCTGTCAGTACCTTAAATGACTCAGAAAAACAAGAGAAAAGGATGGTAATGTTAAAAGGGACATCCTTGACCAATTTTTTATTGTTTTGCTCGGTGTATTTAAACTGGTAATGAGTTTCAGACACACATTTCTGTAGAAAGCTTTGCATCATGAGACTTCAACCAGAAAGAAAGAAAAATATTTTAAATGGAGATGTAGAAGAAGAAAAAAGATTGAACCCACATGGATATTTTGCTTCACATTTAAGCTGCCTTTGCTGATCATCCTCTTTGCCTGCTTTTCTTGCTACTATGTAGCACTATAAGTCTTCCTGTCAGACTCCTGGGTGTGAATAAAAAGAATTGTAGAAAAAACATCTATCTACAGTACACATACTTCTGGTTAATCACTCAATTGCATGGAGTGTGGCCAATATTTTCAAAAGCAATTCATGATCTTGAAGCCTGGAGCCAGAGAGGCTGCACTTGTTATGAATAAAACTTACCTAGTTTTAGACTTTTTGGTATCCGTGAACAAAGACACCAAAATAAAATGAAAAATATCAATATCATTTACAAGATACATTTTCTTTCACAATACAGCCTCATAATTATTACAGAGATCACTGTTTTGAAATTATCCCACAACAAAAACCACTAGTTTACTCGTAGGTGAAATTTCATTATGCAATTCAAAATAGGATCGAACTGTTTTTCACGCTGTTGGCTTTCCCATTAGTTGTGACTATAGAAGATGGCAACAGTTTTCACAACCAAGCATGTCCCAGCCTTGAATGTTGTACATGTTTGTATTTTGTAAGAGGGTCCTGGTAATATGGATAAATAAGGAGCAGTTGATAGACCGCTGGTCTTATTTGCAATTGGTTTCCAATTTATTTCTCTTGTAACCCTCAACAAGGACCAACCAAGTCCTCTGAACATTGTGCAATGGAGTGGATAATAACCCCATTTAGAGACAATGCATACATTTCTATTAGAAAGTGAAATCTATCCTATGCAGCTGAAACTGGTTTCCTCTCCAATATGTATTACTGCCATCATCTAGCAGCAGCAGAACCACATTATTATCATCACTAAACAGTATCTATTTCTTTTAAGTCTTGTCATTTAATTTGTCACTGAGTTAAGATCACCAAATGTCAGGGAAACATCAAAAGGAAGTCCATTATACTTAATTCTTTCTTCTTCAAAGAAGAAGCAAAATGTGTGTTAACAGTGGTCATTTGCCTACATTCTGTTACTGTATTCAAGTAAGCCAGAAGTTGCACAGAACAAGGCAGACAGAACTCCTGAATCCCATTTGACAGAGTTTATCTTTCCAATTTACTTAAAAGCAAATGCAACCAAAATTATAGATACTAAAGAAGTTTGGTGTCTCTCTGTGTGCAGGCTGAAAGGCAAATCTCCTCATCTCAAAAAAAGAAACACCAAATCAAGTGAGTCCCATACCCATTCTAGCTTGGATATAGCTTGAAGAGGGGTTTGCCTCCAATCCCCAACTCTTGCCCTCCCTGCTTCAAAGGCAAACCACCCCATTTTTATTTATTTTTTACAAAAGTGGCAGAAAAGGCTCATTAACTCCATTCTGTATTTGAAACGATACCCCAGAGGACGGGTAGGCAAACTAAGGCCTGGAGGCTGATATGGCTCAAACTAAGGCCCTTCTAAACCTGGTCTGTGGACGGTCCGGGAATCAGCATGTTTTTACATGAGTAGGATGTGTCTTTTTATTTTAAATGCATCTCTGAGTTATTTGTGGGGCATAGGAATTCATTCACTTTCCCCCCAAAAAAATATAGTCCGGCCCCCCACAAGGTATGAGGGACAGTGGACCGGCCCCTTCTGAAAATGTTTGCTGACCCCTGCCCCAGAGCATGCTTGAGGCTTTGAGAATTTGACATGTCTGAGCTCTTCCCCCATAAATATACTCTTGTGTTCCCTTCTGGCTTCAGACAGCCCATAGCTTGGACATTCATTCACAAGTTTCTATTAAATATTTTCATTATTTGGATGTTTTATGCCACTTTGCTTCTCTAAAGCCTGACTTATTGCTGCTCGACATTTATGAGAAAAAATAATATAGGTTGTTCCAAATTAAAATGCCAATCATCCCTGAGTGAAAGTTCTTATTCAGAATTAAGTAAACATAACATGCCCTCTGATCATAAGATGGTCTGTCCCAAGCCAAATGCAGCTCATCTTTAAAACTAGTTGTTTACTAAAGTAAAACAAAGCCTATTAATTACAGAATCATTGCAGAGCAATGTACACCATATAAACATTAAATTAAAACAGAGTAACAGTATTCTCATTAGGGGGCTTAAAATAAAATACAAAAAATGTAATAGCCAAGTACTCAGATTGCTTTATATGTTGATGTCTGCCCTATTCCTTTGAAAAAGGATGGGCTGTATGCACAATTGAATAAATTAATGATGAACTATGAAAAGGGGGACATAACAAAGTGGATCACCATAAAATACCAGGAGAAATGCAGACTGCTGTTAACAATAAGGACAGAGCAAAGATAAATGAAACAATACATAGAGAAGGGCCACAGCAGAGACCCTATATCCTTGATAGACTCCTACCCCATTCCCATAGTAAATAATGCTTATGAGAACTGCACATCAAGGAAGGGACTCAGACTGGGGGTTTGAGGCTTTTCAGCATTTCTGCCAGTGTATATTATTTGTATAAATAAACTTTAGGATTATTTTTAGCAAATCCTGCCAGCCTGTAAGATTTGTTTTTCCAGTAGTGCTCGAAGAAGCCCATGGATCTGCCTCTAGGCTAAACCATGACAACATATTTCTGAACCTGTCACTCCATTTATTTTAATATTTTGTGTTTCCTTCTTCTGAATGTGAACTAGCTGCCGTCTTAATCAGATTTTGGTCCTACTAGTGCCTTGCATGATACAAATTCAGACTACAGAATTTCAGCTACTAAGTTGCGCACATGCTGGTTGATGAAGGCTAATGTAACCCAGGTCATTGATCTCTGCTGTACAATGCAAGCCTGCAGAACTTGTGACCCACAAATAGTGTCAGTTCTTGGAATAATATAATATAATATAATATAATATAATATAATATAATATAATATAATATAATATAATATAATATAATATAATATTGGGTAGGATCCAGAGTAGAACCTTTCAGCAAAGGAACAGAACTTCCAGAAAAAAAGCTCTGTACTACAGCATATGTCTACCTGTCCACTACCACCTAGCAACACACCCACAGGCCAGCACAAATAGCTCTCTCTGCAATCCAGACTACAATTCTATTGTAAGCAGAAAAGGAGAGAGAGAAAAGGCTAGAAGTCTTACACTAAATATATCATTCATTTGCAGAGGAACACTACATTTGCTGCTTGCTCACTTTGATCACTTTTCCCAAGCCAAGTTGATTATCAAAGGCCAGTATCTCAAGCCTCTTGAACTGCAAGCTCTTGTAGTCCTCTTCTTGCAGATAACAGAATGCTGCCCAGGGAAACACCAATGCAGGAGCTAACAATTCTGAACACACAAGGGTGTTCACTTTGATGGGGTTTTTTCCTGAGTCAGGCTGTTGCACTAGTCTAGAAAATGGCACAAGTGCTAACTCTGTCATTAGGAAGCCCAGTCTGTCATTTTAACTAGAGATGATCAACAGTCTCACTCCTAATGAAGATTTATTCACTGTCCAAGAAGTCACATTACAATTCTAGTCCTCCAATGCTGCTGCCTTGGTTACATATTTCAGAAATAACTAGATCCTTGTTAAACACCAAGAACCTCTCACTACATTTTGCAAATCCCTGCTATATATTTCTTCTGCTTTGCATGCAGAAATGTGCACTACATATCTTTGCAAAATGCATTTTTTGTTTTACTTGTTGTTCTTGGACAACTACAGGTCACTGCAAACAAAAGTAATCTTTTATACCTTCTTTTATCTATATGGCGGGACATTCAATAAACCATTTGTAGAATATCAGCTATTAACAAATGTACAGACTGCACAAACATTATTGTGGGTGCTATCAAACATTCTTCTTCTTCCCCTATCAGTCCAACATCAGCCTCCCCAGAATTCTCCTCATCATTTCAGATCACATTAGAACCCAAAACTGCTTCTCACATTTTTCTTTAGCAACTACCATCCTAAACTAATATTTCAGCACACTCTGCTTGGTGGTAGATACAACTTCTAGAGTAATTCTGGGTATTCCAAGAAAAGAATTTATGGCAAACAGAAAGAGCCAGAACTGCCACTATTCATCAGAGGCTGAGACTAATGTCATAATCAAGGTTCCAGCATTAAGAGCAGAATTTTAACAGAAAGTTTAAAATATTTTAAAAGCTGTGCTGCTTATTGTTCTAAAAAGAGCCCTAAAACATTTAATCTTACAAAGACTTTAATTGCAATTAGTGGAAGAATTACAGTGAGGTTTGACATTGCATTGATGAGGAAAACAAAACCCTCTGCTTTGAGGGTTTCATGTTTATTGGCATTATAACCAAAATGTCAACTACACTGAACTCCAGAACTATTTGTTCATGATGTAATGAAGCAGTGAAAATTCCAAGTGGGCTAAGAACCCTTCTGCAAGAAGTTACATAGGAAGCTGATACTAGTTTAAATACAACAATGTATAGCCCTGTTCAGTTTACTTCTATGAGCACAGTGAGGTTGTTTTCTTCTTTTTAAAGTTTTTGCATAATAAGAACATTTTCAGCTCAGGATGCCTATGATGAAATGTTTTATGAGGCATATGAAAAATTAGCATACAGTAACCTTCACTTTTTTCTTTTCTTTTACAACAATGGGGGAAAGTTGCCTTAAGCTTTCCAAGATAGCTGCAATATGGATGTTCTCAAAAACTCTTCTTAAAAGGTCTTTCACTTGTGATAAATTTCAGCAAATACTTCTGAAAGCTGCAACGTTTCAGTTCATATAAATCAAGAAGTCTATGAGCTTCACTCATTGTCATGTGTGTGCCATATTAGGCTTCCTTTTTAAAAGCTATCCCACCTTCCTTGATCAGCACTGAAAAATCATATTCTACAGAAGAGCAAAGACTCTTTGAGAAAAGAGACTGAACCTTCAACCTTTATGTTTCTTATTTTGCTTCCTATCTAGAAGCCTGCCTATACGCCTACACCTTGGACTTATTTGGTCAGCTGCAGCCCCTTCCTGTTCCGAAAAGCTGTCTCTATGACTTTCCGTGCCTGTTTGGGCTTCCGGGGAGCTTTGGCTGTGTTCCAGCCTGCTCTCCATTCCTCCCTTATCAGCTGGCCGTCTAAGGTCAGGGGGAGTCAACGCTAGAAGCTGCAGGCTCTCCTGTGCTGGCTTGAAAACCCAGCCTCCCTGTTCCTGACTGCATTCTGCAGCCGGCTGCGAGATTACACTTAGAGCTGGTGTATTCATGACACGCAAGCATCATCCTTTGCTAGGTTTTCTGTTTTAACAGTTGAGAAATTAGCCCTCAGTTACCCCATGCTGAATTGATGTCATAGCATGGATATCTGAGAAGTTAATCCAAACGGTGAGACCCAACTTGAAGGAAACATTTTCTTGCAGCTGGATTCATGAACTTCACTATTGCTTTCTAGTGAGGGGCATATAGCCAACAAATTCTAGTTGGGCAATATGACAAACTCCTTTGAAAAGAAGCTACTTATTCACTCAAAGCAATTTCAAGATGAAAGACAGTCAGACCCTAGAGCCATATTCTTCTTTCCATAATAACAATTCCTCTAAGAGTATATCCATAGGATCTGAAGCCATTTTAATATGGTTTTAGGCTTGGGCTTGTGGCTACTCTGGTTCCCCCAGTGAGTAAGAACACAATAAGAGTGCTGCTGGATCAGATCAAAGGCCATCTAGTGTCACTTTCTGTTCTTATCATGGTGTGTCTGATATCTCTGGAAATAGTAATAGCACTCTTTCACTCATGAGTCCCAGCAACTAATATTCAGGGACATTACACCTGGTACTGGAGGTAATATAGCCACTAAGATTAGTAGCCATTATTGACCTATGATAGGAGATAGAGAGTTTTATCCTTTTGATTTTCCAGACATTTCAAAAGCCTTTTTACCATAAATTATGATAAGTTAAGCTGGAAATAGGAGCACTACCCTGCAGTAGGTCTGCTCTTACCAACTTATCTGTGCTAGATAGGCAAGGATATTTGTGCAAGCTTCTTAACTACTTTACAGAATTTGAAAGTTTAAGATTGCTCTTCAGGAAGGAACTTCATTTAGTTAGAATCATTGATAAAAGATATCATATTTTCATAGGCAAGCAGCTCCATACAGTTGTAGGGATGCACAATAACAAGGGTTTAAGGAACTCCTAGTTAAATAACCTGCAGCCAAGGAAGGGGAGATTGGGGTGGTTTCTCTGTATCGGATAGAATGCATTGTAGTCTGTATTCTGCTACATCCCTGACATGCTTCTCTGTCTCTCCGAGTGCTTTTAAGTAGTAAGTTTGTCCCCTACAGCATGGAGCAGATTGCACCAAAATGACTAACATTTTCAAAACAACTTAATGAGAGAAGAAGATACCTTACAGCCTCTTAGAAGATGTTCACCCTCACCTTGTCTTCCAATGACACGAGTTGAACGTACTATCACTATACTCAGCATGTTTTCTAAAAAACGAAGTAACACAGAAGTTCTTTTCTGCATTTTTGTTGGCTTGCCATCTTCTTTTGTTATGGGAAGTAGGAGTTTTCCATTTACTAGGACAACAAATCAATACCTCCAGTGCTCTCCCACACAAACACAGCCATGGAAGGCAAATGGCTGATAGTTAATTCTTTAATGACAAAAGCAACACTTACAGCACTTCCTAAGGTGCACCAGATGCACACCTGCACACACTTCTTGCACCTACATAGCTGGCATTAACTTTTCCAGGTTCACGCCTGGCGGAGCAGTTGAACCAACAGTAGGACCATGCCCTCCCCTGGGCTTATGTATCCTCGTCTGATGGTGTGCATGCCTGTAACCTGAGACTGACTTCTCCTGCACAGAGGTTGTCCCTCCACTTCCCTCTTCAAGACCCTCCTGGTTCTAGGAGACAGCAGGACAGGGGATGATGGGGATTTAACCAGTTCACCCGTCACATGAAGAGCCTCTTTCTCTACTTCTGACACATCCTGCCCCCATCTCCACCTTTGACTGACCCTTCCCCTTCCCTCTGTCCTGGCTGCTGCCTTGTGGGTGGCATCAAACTCCATAAATCACTGCCCCCCTCTCCTGGGTCAGCCTCCAGACCCCCTGTCTCCGTCACACATTCACCAGAGCCCTGTGAGTCCCTGACAGGCTGTGACCTGTACACAACTAAATGGGGGTAAAATCTACTGAACACTGTAGGATTTTCTTCCAAGTCCATGGACAGGGATAGCCTGACGACTGCAGTCCATGTGTTGGTAACCTCGAGGTTGGATAACTGCAATGCACTCTATGTGGCAGCCATAAAGTCGTGAGCCACCCACCCCAGAGCTAACTGCTTTGGTATGGATGATGAAGTCCCCCAACACCAGCAGTCTGGAAGTCCTCAACACCACCTCCAAGATCAGTTCAGGCAGCAAGACTGCTGGGCAGCAAAGTGGGAGGTAACCAGCAGAATCCCTAATCTGTCCCGATTACACAACACCAGGAACAAACACTCTGGACCCCCACTGAACTGGACAGAGAGCCTGGCAAAAGATGAATATATAAATTTATTTATGTATTTTAGACTATTTTATTCTCATTTTTAAGATGCATGCAAAACGGAGCAAAACCCATTAAAATGCAGAGAACAAAAGCGTTCCTTGGCACCCATCTATCAAGAATAGGTAAGAAGAAATTATATAAATCCCATGTGATGCAATGGGTGCAATTTTATGACCCAGTAGAATTGCCTTTTAGCTTCAATGAATCTTTTAAATTCCCTTAAAACATAAAGGAGATTAAATATTCATGGAGCTTTTCTAACAATAAACTCAAACTAATTTCTCTTCCGGCTGCAACTTTGTCTTCTTTGTAACTGGCACCTTTAGTCTGAAAATATCTCATACTGAGATCCCATCAAAATAGCTAAAAATGGTGAGGATTCCCCAGAGTTGTAATTTTGATCCAATTTTGTCTAATTCTTCTGTCAATTTTGCATCTTGCTGTTGTCCAAAAGAACATTCATCACACAAAAAAACCCTCTTCTCTCTTTGTGCTCTTAAAGAAAAGGTACAAAGATTCAGTAAGACCTGAAGTGAGGAAGTTTTTTTATCACAAATTCTTCATTTGGGTGCTAAGTGATCTGCTTTATTTTCTCCATCTCTTGATGCTAGATTAACATAACTGGTTTTTATTGGAAAACAATTTTCCTTTTGTTAAATTCAGCTGATTACCTCTAATAGATGAAGTTAAACTGATCATTGCCATTCCTTTTTTAAAAAGCACAGATTTAAAAGTATTGCCTCCTCCTGAAGGTTTTGTTCTCTGGGGAGGAAGGAAAAGTTAGTGCCAACATCAAGATGCTTCTCAACTTAAAAACCATGATGATTCTCTCCCCCCCCCCTCCTTATTTCACACACCATTTCAATATGAATTGGAATTAGAAATAATAAGGTGGCAATGTGAACACACCCTTTAGTCTCTTCTGCACAATAAAATGTTTGTGTCCCATCTCTTGCTCTATGTGGTATAGCTCACCTGTCCACCTTCTGCCCAAAACGATTATAATCAAGGGGCTACCAACACTGGGGGGGGGGGACTGGAAAAGAGGGAAGGGAGGGCCAAGTTCAAGCAACAGCTCCCAGCCCAGCTAGAACTGACTCTCCATCCCAGATTGCCTCCCAAGGACCAAGGAGGATGCCCAATCCTCAAATGGGGTTTTGCAAAGGTTTTAGAAAACTTTAACAAGGGATCAGAGAAGAAGCATGTCAAACAATTTGAGATCCCTGAATGATTTAGGGAATAACAAATGCCAAGATTTAAAAGCAAGAATGTGAAGTGCAACAGGCCTATATCAGTGAAGCTAAACAGGGCTTATTCCCTCCGTGCAACCCCTGCCAAATCTGTTCTGGGGGTACCCTAGGCATCTGGAAAGATTTCGGGCACAGACAAAAGTCCTTGAAACCAACAGGATTTCACTGGATACAACCCATCAAACTGAAATAATACAGCACATGCTCCATAGCCATTTTTTAGGTTCAGGCTAAATCAGATATCAAGGTGAAGTACCAACTTTAGGCTGAAAACACTGCTCAGAAATATATTTACATTCTTGAATAGAAATCCCATCATAACTATTTGTTTGATTAAGGGTACAAGTTTAAGGGTTCAGGACTTCAAAATTCGCTATGTGGATTTTAGAATCAGACTTTGGGAGTGGGATGCTACCAGACCTATGTGAAATCTCTAATATGTTGAGGATTTCACAATGTATTCTGGAATACAAAGAGTTCTTTTTGCACTGTCTCTCAGCTAAAACCATTCTTTTTCCTGCATATACCTTCTTTATGATCATGACAAGTCTTTAGAGAAGATGACTGACAACCAGCAGGTAATATGATGTCATTGCACTGTTATCTGGTTTGAATGGGCAGATAAGTAAACCAGACTGTTAGTCAGTTAGACAGAAAATCAAATTTAGAAAGGGAGTTTGCTTTAAAGGAAGACAGCTAGATTTTTAAACAAATAAAGACATGCATAATTCACTTTTTCCTCAAGCTATGCTAGCTATATCTACAAGGTAATTACTATTACTTTGTTCATTTACTATTTGTTATTTCCTCCCTTATACAGTAATAGTACATACTTTTTCATTTGAGATTTGTAAGTAGTGGCTGGCCACATAGCATGGATGCTGCAGTAGCAGGTTTCCTGCACTGTCAAGAGATTAGACTAGACTTTTGACGTTCCTGACATGATTCTGTGAATATAAGAATTGTAGCTGAGCATATGAAGCAGAACATTCTAGAAAAGTCTGCCTCTCCCAAAGTTCAAAGTAAGGAAGATTCCATTTAGTTGCATAACCAGTAAAGTTGCACAATTTGATTCAAAACCATCCTAGACTGCAAACTTGTAAAAATATATGCATTAACAAAACATTACATGGGAAAAACCATGTGTTCACCCAGAGGCATCCTTCTGACATTTCTAGTGCAGTGAGACAGCACATTCCACAGTATCATCCGAGGAAGGATTGGAGTTTTCCAACTTGTTCAAGCCCTTGTAATTATTATTAGCATTAGTATGTATTGATACTAGGGGATGGGTAGTACCTCTGGTGGGGGACACTTTGTGCTCCTCCTGGGGTAGTTGGTCCATACTTGGTCCCCACTCTGCACTCAGTTCTCACCTGTAGTTCCTAGAAGCTGTCACACAGCATGTGACAGTGGCCACACCCTGGGAACGGCTTCAACTGGCTAGCTATACCAGGTGAGGATAGCTGATGGGTCTCAAACCCTCAATGAGTTAGGGACTTCCCCTGCATGCAAAGAAGGCAATGGCGAATTGAGGGTAGTCTATCTAGAAGAAGGGAAACTGATCCTCTGCTGCCTTGCAGGATATCTTCAGGGGAAGAAAAGCTAAGGAGTAAAACTTATACAAATATGGAGTGGAGTCCCTAAGATGGTTATATATGCCTCCTTCTGGCAACTCCTGCAGCTAAGCTGGTGCCAAACATATTGCTCTGCTTTTTTTGGACCACAAAAGCAAGGCCAAGAAGGGGATCATGTCTTCTGGGCAGCCCAGAACCTCCACGCACACTGCCCAGGCTTGAACCCTGGGAAGGTCACTTTGGTGTTGCTAACACAGGAGTCTGACTTTCCTCATGGGGGGACATTCCATTGTCTCTCAAGACAGATGAATGCCAATAATATACCCCACCTTTTTCCCCTGAAAGGGACTCAAAGCAGCTTACAGACAAAACAAATGAAACAGCTAAATAGACGAACACTCACTTTCTCCTTGGAACTTTCTCTTTATAATTCCTCTACAGTTATAAGCTTTGGATTACTAGTATCCCTTTGTTCTTGGTTTTGTTGATGTCCTTTAATGTAGGGTCAGAGCTTTCTTCAGTCTGTTTACTGGAATTACCCAATTATCAGCTCCTGCCTAAAGCTGCAAATTATCTTTAGAATAGCCATTAATATACCGAGAGTTTCTGGAATGTGTTGAAAACTCCTTTCCCCCGGCTTAGATCCAGTGCTCACACTCTTATCAGCATAGGAGCCACAGCTGCACAACACCTTCCAGCTCCACTGCAGTAACGGAGGATACAGGAGGAGCCCATGCAAGCATCTATACCCAATAACATTTGTTTATGGGGGCAGGGGTCTCCCATGATTCTCACATTATATGGGAATGAATCAACTGCTATGGCTCCTGTACCACTGGAAAAATGCAAAAACCCAGTCTTAAATTTCTGTACAGAACACTTAAATTCTCTGTCATTTATTCTACTGCTTCTACGGGACATGTAAGCTTACTGGTCAACTTCTCTTTTCTTACAGGAATCCAAATACCTTACACTCTTCTTAGGAAATGTCATATGGCAGTTGAGCTGAAAGCCAGAGAGGCATGGAACAAAATCTGTACTGTGTAGTACAGAATAACAGGCTTTTACTATGAGACAAGAGGCCTCAAATTCTAGACAATAAGGCAAAGCTGGGTCCAGAGAAAACTCACGCAAGCAAGGGCAGATTAAGGTGGTGGGGGCCCTGGTGCAATTCCCAAAATAGGCCACCCTTCTCCCTAAAAAGCATACATGCAGTAAGGTACCACAAAAAATCTAGTGGTATTTTAAAGAGTAACACAATATATTCATTATGGCATGATGGGGAGGACCCTGAGCACATGTAGTTCACAACTTTTAGCAAACTAAGAACTTTTGGGGTGGGGGGCAAACCTTGATAAACAAAAAGAAAATACTCCAAGCATATGCACTTAACTCATCATTGCTTTTGTTCATTTCCTGCATTGGACTTAGCCTAGCCTACCTCACATGGCTGTTGTGAAGGTGTAGAAGGAAGTATAAAATGGTGGCAAAAGGAAACTTAAGACATCAAACTTTTGTTCCTTTAACCAGACTAATGCACCTTTATTCCATAAGGGGTCATTATTTTCTACTCCTCCTCCACCCACAAATTAGTACAGTTCCAAGGTTTCAACCATTCGTACTCTGGCATGATTATTGTGTGTTCTAGATTCCTATGTCCCAATGAAAAAAATAAGGGGTAAGGAAACAATTGGGAACTGCTCTTACTTTTATTTTATCTTCCCCATCCCCCAACTTACTAAACTAGACCAGCTGAAGTACTGAACTGCTGAAGAAGAAAAATGAAAGAAGAGTTTGTTAAGACACTGAAAGATCTTCTGTGTTTCTGCTCTCCACAGTAGTCACAAAGCATCAAGCAATAAAGGTGCTGGCTCTATCCTTTGGCTTGTGCTAAAAGCACAACAAAGCATCTGTCTGAGAGTCAGGCATGGTTCCTTTGACACTCCCTTCTCTCACAGACACACAGGCTGACAACAACCATTCAATATAAATAGTACTACAGACTGCACATACGAGATAAATCAAATGATGATTTTTAGGGATGAAGAGGTGACTGAAATAAATAGGGGTTAAGGGACACAGATGCTTTATTAATTATGAGATTTCTCATTTTTTTTCCTGTGGAAGCAGTTTATTGCTGCTGTGAGGATGCTGCACAATTGAAAGTCTCCAGACTTTGTACGTAATCATAACTAATGGAGTAAGCATAAGGGGGCTTTCTCTAATAGTCATTTTTATTATGAATAAAATAAAATCCCCAAAGTTTATTTAGCATTACATCTAATGATACACCCGAAATATACTGGATACTATAACAGGAGACAAAAGTTTATACACGCATGCGCGCACACACACACAAACACACATTCACTGTATCTTTCCATTTTTCAAAAAGTTACAATAGCTCTTTCAACAAAAACGCTTTCTCCAAAATACTGCAGCCTCAAATTCAGAGTATTCTCGAGAATAAAAGTACCACACTAGCCAGGCTCTCACTCTGACCCAATCTCCCCAGGCTTTGGAAACCAAACTGACCTGAATGCAATGAAAGACCCATAAAAATTCATCTCCTGTTGGAAGTGGCAAATCTTCCTGTAGCATTTACAGCTGTGGTGTATAGGGACCCATTTATTTCCAGGTTATCACCTTCTACCCACAGCAACATAAAAGAAAGGCTCAGAGACTGACAGGAATCAACAAAAGACCTCATTTCTTCCTGCAATGGCAGAGCAGCTCCTGGGAGAGCTGGGCAATTTGGAACAGTAGCTGAAGGTGGGAAAATGTCAACTATCTGTGAACACAAGGGCCTTTATCCAGATTATTTACAACCATATATAGGAGCTTCTGAACTATGCTGTTATGCACAGCATCTACTACCTGGACAACACTAGCACTGATTACAGTTCAACATTGCAGTTCAGCTTCATCAACAAACGATCATGTCCAGAATAAAACAGGAATAAAATTGCCATGGTGTATGGGGCATTCAAATCTTCTGCTCATTTCCCTTATTCCTAGTGTGCAGTAGTGGTCATGAAGCCCACTAGATGACTTAGGGCAGTCACTGTCTCTCAGCCTAACCTACCTCAAGATAAAATGGAGAGAGAGAGAGAGAGAGAGAGGGAGGGAGGGAGGAGGGAGGGAGAGAGATTAAATGTATAAACAAACAAACAAACTAGGGAAAAGTTTTATTTACTGACTGACTGACTGACTTACTTACTTACTTACTTGGTTATTATTATTTTGCCCAGGACAACCCAAACAAAACACCCCACAAAGATACATTAAAGCCAAGAGGAGGGGAAATACATTAAAAACATCCTACCCACTTCTAAAAGGCCATAGATAGTTAAAGGCCAAAGGCATGGTTACAGATGAAAGTTTTTGCTTGGTGCCTAAGAACATATTATGATGGCACCAGGCGAGCCTCCCTGGGGAGAGCATTCTACAAATGGGAAGCCACCACAGAAAATACCCATTTTCATGTTACCAACCTCCAGGTTTCTCATGGAGGAGACACAGGAAGAAAGGCCGCAGATGATGACAGCAAGGTCCAGCTTGGTTCATATTAGTCTCTAGATGAGATGAAGACCTCAGGGTATGGATTCATGATTGTAGGAAAGGTTGCCATTTATTTAAACATACTGTGTTGAAAATCATACATCTTATAATTTTGTATGTCGGGAGGTACCAGGGCTTTTGATTAACACCCACCATCCCATTCTGAACTATCAACCATATATATGCCAGAAATTTGGGGATAGAGAGGAGGAAAGTGAAGAGAGGAGGAGAGAGACACTGACCTCCAGCAGAAGGGAGCAAACTTGACTTTACACACTAACTGATTTAAAGGACAATGTGCTAAGCTGGTCTTCAAAAATGAGCCACAATGCAGACAAGGCAAGTCAAAACCTGTTAAATTTAAATCTCATGCTGGTTCATGCTAAAGTAGCAGCAAGGGAGTGGCTCAAGAGGAGTCAAAACAAAACCCTATAAATGATCAACAAGCTGATGATAAGAGGAGGAAGGAAGAGGTTACATCTTAGTGTAAACTGAAATCCAATTAACTCTCTTGGCCATATACTAACTGCTATGTTTTACCCATATACACATGCTGAACTTCCTAAGGAAATTTCTAAAATGATCTCTTTCTTCATTAATAGTATGTTCCTTGTGCTCATCAAGTGATAAAATATTGAACAGGAAATTCCAAAAAATACCTCATGCTACTTTAATAAGAGGAAAACTCCTGTTTCCAATTTGCATTCTGTATGCCTGCATTTTAGCAACATAGGATTATTCAGGCAATTAAAAATTTCTGCTTACCTGATGCATTTACAATCACTGTGTAGAGACATAAAAACACAAGGCTTAGACAATTCTACTTAGACGGAGAACATGTATGAACACAAGCGGCATCATTCCATCAGGTCAAAGCATCATCCTGCATCTCTACTTGTATTTTCTGTGTTGGGAAAATACAGACTGCCTTTTGGGACACAGAGCACTTAATGGTCTTGCATGCTATGTGAAATGTAATACAAAGTAGAGGTACATCTTAAAGATGTGCAACCTTCCCTTCAGATTTTAGTGGCATTCCCAAACACATCAATATGTATGTACCGCAAAAAAATGAACTACAGAAATAATGTGCAAAAGGAGGAAATACTTAGCGTCCACTGCAAGAAAAACCAGTGATGTAGAAAACACGTCTTACTCTTAAGTCATAAAAAACCCACTGAAATCTTCTACCAAAGGCAAAGTAGGAAATCCAACAGGCATTATTCTCTACTGACCTGGTAATTAGTGGCATGATCAAAATGATTCAGAACGACCTGACCAAGGAAATAATGCTGCCTTTAAAGCTGGCAAAATTGGTGTTTTGATTGTTGTTGTTGCTATAAGTGGAAGTAGAGGGGTGGACTTTTCACTACATTTTTTATTCTGAAATGTGGGTTGCAGCAACAAAGTTTCATGTAAACAAAGTTTATATGTGAATAAGTGCTGCCATCTAAAGCTAGTTACTGGACATGCACTGCGTTTAATTCCATAAACTGAATACCAGAATATCTGAACAGCACTCAAGGCTTTTGCATACAATCCATCACATTTCTTCCTTTATTCTATTAGCTTTCTCAGAGATCATTTCTAGTCAGATTTGATTTGTGCAGTGACGGTACCATGGCCCTGCTCTATAGTTTTGCTGTAGAGCCATTTTTAAACAAAGAACAGCACGGCTCTGTACCCCAGAGAATTGCTCAGCTGGAGGAATATAGGAAGCTGAGATGCCTCAACTAAGACTATTCCCTTCCATCTAGCATACTACAGCTGAGTGGTTCTGCACTGGTGATGTGAAGCAAAATTGTGTTAATCTAGCAAAATTATGTATAACAATGTGTCAGAAGGCAGCAGGAAGCCTTTTTGATTTAGACAAGTCTTCTAAGGAGTGTGCTTATTAGAAAAAGAAATTAGCCAGCAAGGAGCTCTGAAGACAAATAGATCTCTGTTCCATGCAACCATTCACATCACATGCACTATTCATCACACCAGTCATTCATACATCCACATTCCACATGATCCCATCACCACTGACTGCACTAGCTGAAGGAAGTTTGCATTTTCCCAGCAACATAAGATACTTTTTTGATTGCGTGGAGAGTACAGTATTCCTGCAACAGAAGCACAGCCTTAGGGGATGATATATGGATCCCTCAAAGCAAATAAAAATAACACCTGTGCAAAAATGAACCCAATAATATGGAAATGACCCAAGAGAAACACATGTATGTAAGCAGGATACCTCCAACATGCCAACTGTACCTGGAGGAGCAACTCTTTTTCAACCACTTCTTCCGTCTTGCTAATAAGTCGTTTCTGCAATGCATGTATCTTTTGTATCAACTCATAGGTATTTGGGTCGCTGGCCTGCATGATAGGAATACAAATTTTTAGTTGTAAGTTCTGTGCCTTGTAGCATGCCTAATTGCTCAAAACTTAAATGAATACCTTCCACACTAAACATGGCCTTACATAATAAAACTTAAACTTTAAAGCTGTTATTTATTCCCCTAGCAATATGAACAGCCCAGGCTACCAACCTAGACAGTAGCAGGTTCACGTTGCTTCCACGCAGAGCAGTCATGGAGATCTGTCTATACACCTCATTTAGGATTTGAGGAAGCATCAGTTTCATTGATCAACAGAACATGTGCAGGCAAGCACATATCCTGAACACAATAGAACGTAGTCACATGATTGTTGTCTTCTGGCCAGTAGTACCATCTTCTGAATTGTAACATTCATGCTACACTTTGTATTATTGGGCTTTCAAAGAACTTTTGATATAGCCCCTCAATCAATTTTTATTGCGGTCAAAGACCAGACGGCAAAGTTAACAATAACAATATATGCCACATCCACATGAAGAAGCGGATGTAATTAAAAATTGCCTATAAACTTATTTACATTAAAAATAACACTCCTTCAGCTAAAATCTGAATTCCAGAGATTAAAATCAGTACTCATTCGTCAGCCATCACTGTCACCACAGCCTGTCTTGTCCTTGTTGCTATAAAACAGAGTTTTGCAACAGGCCTGAGGATATCTAGATTTTTATCAGCAAGAAGTTTCCTCTAAGCATCCAGGAAATTTCCTTAATAAAGGTATAAAAGCTCTCTTCAGGTACCACGGGCAGTGTAGAAGAATGTGCCCAATGGATTCAATCTCATTAGAATTGCATGGACATAATCTTTGTTCAGCTGGGATTTCATGATATCTGTCCTCTAGCAGTGCTGAAGGGAGAACATTAAAATGGGCTCTGGAAAATGTCCAACAATGTTTAGCATTTGCTGGATGGGATATTTGAGATTTGTGCAGAGATTTATAGATTTTAGAGGATCAGATAAAATCAGTTTGGAATTTTATGTCCCAGATTTGTTCTTTGATTATATATCTGGCCCTTCCCATTTCCAAACTATTCAGGAGAAAGGCCATAAAAGGACAGTTTTCTTGTAATGCCCTTCCACCATTTTGTTTGATAGTTATCAATTAGCAACAAGGGAAACAGCCCAGTTGGAGTCTTATTAAGTCTTAGCCATGTGTATAGAGTAACTAGCCACACTCTGGCTTCAATTCTATATAGGCCCATCTCCAGTCACAGGGCTGCATTAGGGACACATTTACGGGTTCAGAAAATTGACCTAAGAAATCCTGATTGTATTTTTTCATAGGAGTCCAAATTAGAGAGGGGAACTAGTTGTATACCATGTAATAGTTGTGCTATAGATTTTTCAGCAAATGTTTAACAGTAGCTGGAATAAAATTTCCTCCTTTTGCTCAGTGGAATCTTAAAATTGCTGCAGTACTTTTTTGGGCACTTGGAATACTGTGTATAGTTGTATTTTAATCAAAAAGTGTATTTTAGAGCTGAAAGATGTGCAGAAAAGGGCAACCAAAATTACCAAGCCGCTGTAACAACTTCCCTATATGAAAAGTTGCAAACAACATTTGAGGTGTTTCAGTTGGGGGTGGGGGGGTGTGAGGAGGAGGAGGAGTAATAATAATAATAATAATAATAATAATTATACCCCACCCATCTGGCTGGGTTTCCCCAGGCACTCTGGGCGGCTTCCAGCAAAATATTAAAATACAATAATTCAGTAAGGGGGGACATGATAGAAATGATGAATAAATTATACATGGCATGGAGCAAGTGGATAGGAGAATGTTCTTCTCCCTCTCTCATAACGCTAGAACCCAGGGCCACCCAATGAGAGCTGAATATTGGAAGTTTCAGGACAGAAGTGTTTTTTTACACAATGCATAGTTAAACTATGGAATTTGCTGCCACAGGACGAAATGATGGTTACTAAATTGGAGTTTTAAAATGGGTTTGGACAAATTCATGGAGGATTACAATATCAATGGCTATTAGTCATGATAGCTGTGCGCCACCTTCAGAACTGGAGGAGGAATGTATCTGAGTACCACTTGTCGAGGAACACAAGTGAGGCAAATGCAGTTGCACTCATATATATATCCTGCTTACAGGCTTCCCATAAGTATGTGGTTGACCATAGTACAAACAGGGTGCTAGTCCACATGGGTCTGTGGGCTGATCAGGGCTCTTATGTTCTTATACTGGTAGTTTTGGAATACATTGGCAAAATGCTACAGAGCGACTACTGTCATCAATTACTTCCAGAGGTGGTGCTCACATGGAAAATTGTGTTGACATGCACATTGTCCCAGAACATTTTATCAACAGTGATCAACATTGGAGCTGTTTGCCCTGGGGCATCTGCTATTTTGCTGCAGGGCAGTAGTGTGAAAGTTTAGTCACTGCAACATGCTGCAAGAAAAATCTCCTATGACAGCAGGGTCCCAGAAGCAAAGGGAGTCCTATAACAATGCAGGCAATTATAGGGTTTTCTAGCACAGGACTGCGAGCAGAGAGAGGGATATTAGCAAACCACATTTTTCTTATATATGCTATTGCTATTCTATCTTCACACTTGAAAAACAAATGAACCCAGTGATTCCTAATGAGATAGACTGCAAATACATTTCCGTGTGTTCTACAACCACAAACACAACACACTGGCTCATAATACTGGCCCTGTTTGCATTCCACAGTATGCCAAACTATGTCTTACAGGGGTTGCACAAACATGCCGGCTCTCAGAGAAGAGCTCCCATGCACTTTACTCCTCCCTAGTCCTTTTAGCACAATGTGGCAGTTAAGCCAAGGTTTGGCTCAGCATGTCATCTGAACCTGGCATCACAGTTTAGGTCTCTGCTCCTTTACAACAAGCTGCAACCACTGAACAAATGTTTGCATGAACCTGATAAGCCATTGTTTGGCTTATTGTAAAATGTGAACCAGGCTGCCGATAGAAGCTTTCTAGAATCCTCCCATCTGTTTACACAAACATGTCCAATTAATAAATTCCTAAGGACTAAAGCATAGATGCTTCATGTCTTTAACAGCCGAAGTGTTGATTTGCAGGAATTGTTCTATTTTTTGTTCTGGAGATGAACTGAGGCACTGTTACAAATTATCTCAACTGATTCTATATACTGGATGATCAAGCTATTTCAAAATGATTCTAGAATTCAAAGACTTCATTTTCTGCAAGTATCAAATTGTTGTTTATGTGTAAGATTTAGATGTATAGCTGACGTTATCCCATAGGCTATGGACAGGCTACAGTAAATATCTCTAAAATATAAGCAATTTCTAAGCATTTAAATTAAATTATATTCTATATTCTATCTGCTTCTAAAGGAGAAATTCCAGAATACTTTATCAGATGAAAATAAAGCATCAAAATATCAGAATTGTCTGCTGGGCAAATCAATACAACCAAAACATTCAGCTGGAGTTCTTCAGAAACTTGAATACTGCTACCAATTTGAGAGGTCAGCTGAACAACATTTGGCACTGCATAAAAGACCAACATGCATGCAAAACAGAAATCTCAGCAGCTTGAGAAATGTTCAAATGTATCATTTCTGCTCATGGATTTAGCTTATATTAAAGATCTTTATTTATTTTGCTTTCAGTTGTGAAGCAAACGAGTGTACGTGTTTACAATAGACTACACAGAATGTTGTACTGGTTACTAAGATTCTTTTCTTTCCCAAATTTATACATGCCCTTTCTGCTTCAACTCAATTGTTCTCTCTTCTGTTCTCTGTAAACTTCATCTAATGCAGCATTTCACATTTGACCATGGAAGAGTTGTTCCTTCTTTAAGGTGGGTGGGACTCTCTTTGAACTGTTTAATACTCTAGCCCCCTGTCCAAGTTAATCAACTATTTCACTCTCAATCTCACCTTCAGACCTTTCTCTTCTCTTTGGGCTTTATCAGTTTTCATTCTGCAAAACTTTCTGCAATCATACATCATGGAAGCAACACAAAAATAATCCCCAAATGCCTTGTGCCTATAAAGCCTGTCTGCCATTAACCACCATAGAATATGGTGTGGAAATTTTAGCCTGTCTGCCCTTTTTAATGTCAGTTTGCACAGATTAAAATATGCTTTGCACCATGCTATCTATTTGAAAAACCGGGTCTCTTTGAAAGGTGACACTTTACCTCTAATTTTCTCCATCTGTGAACATTCATGGGGTTCTCAAGCTCTTCCTCCAAGGCTCTACAGCGGGTCCGTTCCTTTAGTAACTCCTTCTGCATATGATAAACTTCTTGCCTTCAAAAAGTAAGAAATACAAACACCATGACCTCTGCAAAGAACTTAATATGAATATGGCAAAATGTTTATTAACTCTTTTATTTGGTGTAAGAGAGAAACATGTAGCCATCTCTCAGTACAATTCTTCTTTCGCATGTATTTACTAGTAATTTCAATTACTCAAGCAAACATTTCCAGCACTGGGTGCAGAAGAGTTTCATGATGTAATGCTATTTTCAGTCATCCCATTCGACTCTTGCCAAAAGCAATGGCAAACTTTCCCTATTTACACAAGGCAATCGTTCAGAGGTCTGCTATGAAAAAACCAGCATTAGGCTTGTCACAAAGGATTTTTTTTACCTAAGAGATCAAAAATTAGAAGTCTTGTTTCAAGAAGCAAAATATGGTAAAAGGAAATATGGTACAATCAGCATGCATTATTTAGGACTTGAGATGAGGTAATGAGTGGCTAGCGATAACAAAACTATAGTTGAAACTGTCCAGATGTCATACATATCCGATCATGCCCACTACCACAAAGAGATAAATGTAATGTCCCCAAAGCAACCTAAGTGACCTTGTTGTCGAGTATTTCCCAGACATTCCATCTCTGACTTATGGAACTTCATGGTAGGGCCGGTCGATACATGAGGCAAGTTGAGGCAACCATCTCAGGCAACAGGATCCACAGAGGCAATAAATTCTGATGTAGATATTTATTCCCCTTTGTTCCTAATGTAGGAACTTCACTTATCCCTTCTTCCCTAGTTGGGGGAGGGCACCATTTTGTGGTTTGCCTCAGGTGCCAAAATGTTTGGGGCTGGCCCTACAACATGGTATGGAGCATTCATCGAAAGATATAAACTGAAGGCTGTTTCAAAGCAGGCAGACTCCAGAAGTTTATTGTAGCTGAGGAAACATGCATTAAATTGTTCCTTTGGGCAGCTTGAGGAAGTCCCACTTACATTTCTATTCATAGTGTTCCAGCTAAATATCGGAACTGAAAACACTCCCACCTATCCTCATTATCTCTTCACCAGACTTAAGAGTAAAAATATACCTATAAAATATATTAAGGAATGCCTAAAAATGTAATCTGTACACATGAGAAATGTGTATTTTCAGTCATGCGTTTTCTACAAATGCAGATGTCAGTGCACTCGGCTCTCTGTGACTTCTTACATGGCTGCAACAAGAAATACAACATTTAATTATTGCCAGCTCCATTAGACCTCTCCATCAACTATCACCTGGTAACGGTCATTCCAGCAGGCAGTAGTGGATCTGGTCTTTCAGCAGAGCTGAAGGAATGAGCTCTGCTTTGTGTCTCTGAGGCAGCCTACTATCAAGAATGGTAGCCAGGGCAGTGTGGGTGGGGCTGCGTTGTTCTCCTGTCTTCCCAACGCTGGACATCACTGCCACCAAGATGCAGGGGGACATAAGCTCAGCACAATGCAGGCATATTGGATTGGACACACCACTGCCCATACCATGCCATGCTAAACACCTCTGCCCTGCCCCTCGATTTCTTGGTAAATGGCAGCAACATACAGCATTGGGAAGACAGGAGAGCAACACAGCCCCTCCCGCACGGCTCCACCAGCTGCTACTGCCGGAAGACTGCCTTAGAGATGGGGAACAGCTCATTCCCTCAGCTCTGCTGAAAGATCAGCTCCATCAGGTGCCTCCTGCCCCTGAACTTTTTCCATTCCAGCTAGTCCTGAGGAGGACAACCTCCCAAGTGTGCTTTTCCCCTCTTCCCCTATCCCCGTTTCTTTACAGTGTCTTTTACACTGTATGCCTGTAGACATACGGTAGATGGTCTTGTTTCATCAATCAGACATAAGCCATCATTGGAATCTTTTATACACCATGACGTAAGTGATTTTCAAAGTTCTTATTGTTATAATTTTAGTTATATACCTTCTATTTCATTTCTATTTCCAAGTATAAAAATATTAATTACTGGTGCCATAAACAAGATGCATTAACAATTTTCCATTTTACATTTGTAATGTATGAAACGATTCTTAGATCGATGGGCCAAACCCAAAGAAGTAACTGTACTACCAATTAAAGCAGCTTAGCACTGCAAATGATGAAATGACTATTTTCTGGCAATTCTAGCAATGATTGGGAAGTTCATTAAAACAGAGAGTTGCTGATGCCATTAAGAGAAGTGCCACAGTAGCATATACTTGCATTTCCACATGGTAATCAAGCACCCAGCCCAATGCATTTCAGCCCAAAATCCAAAGTGTGTCATTGACCATAGACAACAAATAAATGCCACATCTTTCTAGAATGCTTAAATCTAAATAAAATCTTAAATTAGGGCGGGAAGGAACCTTCAAGTCATCTCTCTCAAGTTCTGCACTGAGACAAAATCCTCTGTTAGGAAATCTGCCCACCTCTCCCCATATATTAAAACCACTAGCCAGTTGGGCCTAGAGGAAAAAAATTATCACACACCCCACAAAAAGGTATCAGTCTACTAAGCCGCTCAACAGAAATTGTTAGTTCTCTAGTATCTAAAGTTCACAATAAAAACATCCCATGACCACTGCCTCTCTCTACAGTAGTTTCCAAAGGAGAAAAAAAATCTGTTCATTATAGCCACCACTGGCACATTACCTGCAAAATCTTTTAAAACTATCTTAGGCTGCATTTTATATACACTTACTACACAGTAACATCCACTGATTTCAATAAGATTTACTTTTCAGGAAAAATGCTTAGAAGCACCTGTTATTTAATTGCCTAAAAGTCACTTAGCATTTAAGAATTAGCTACAGTAAAAAGTTCAATGAAATTTGCACACTCTTTCACCCAAAGAAATAAGTCCAATTAATTTTAAAAAAGCACCTTACCTATTTTATTGTGCTTATTCTTTGGGACTAGCAGAGTAACTCTCTAGAGCAAACCTTATTAATGTCTGTGAAGTTTTGCCAACAGCATAAATCTTACTTAACAGAAGACAGAACTAAATCCTCCTTTGCCAAACCAGTAACTCACTGAAAGCAGTCCTTTTCTTTAGTCTATTTTCTTACAAGCCCACAGTGACTATATAACAATGTTTTCCCAAAAGAACAAAATATGTCTCAAGTATAGCAAGGTCTTTTTTCTTTTTCTTTTTAAAGTATTAGCACAAAAAAGGAGGAGATAAATCTAGCAAGCCCATAAAATTTTGCTCTGAGGTAAACACAATCTCGAATGAAAATTTAAGCAAACCTTTCTACTAGGATCAAGCTACCTGATAAATCTAAAGGACAAAAAACTGAGAACATATTAGGGCTTGTTATAAATATGTCAAATGTTCTGTTTTCACTATAAATTACCTAATAAAAAACAGCTCTGCTAATGTGGGTCCTGGGCCCCACTAAGTTATTCACTGAACTCTGAAGACTTTCCCCATTGCTGCCTGTCAAGTTTTACGTTGTAGCAAGTGTAGAAGTAAGTAAAGTTTGGAAGTGGGATAGTTTGGTACCAGCAACTTCCCTTTAAAATTATGTTTCTTTTTCCTGGCTATTGATTGGCTTATTTGCTTGAATTTAAATCTAATATTGTACGAGGTCATGTGAAGCAAATCATTCCTTGAAATAACTGATATGTCAACACAAATCTTTGTCATGCATTAAAACAAACATTCCCCAGTGTCTCAAAAGCAGTGTCATGGCCGCAGCCACAAGCAAAATTGATTCATTCTGTCTTTCTACCTGAGTTCTTCCACATTAGCTACACTCTTGCCAAGTATTGCCTTCTCCCGACGAAGTTTCTTGATCTCCAGCTTGAGTAGTCGGATGTCTTCCATTCTTTGCCGGTACTGCATTTCTCCCTTGTTCAGAATTGATTGCTGGATTTTGATCTTCTCATATAGAAGAGCCAATTCATCGTTGCGACGAACCAGCTGGCTCCCCAGAATGTCTCTTTCACTGATAACCTAGAAAAAGTGGCAGGCCAAGACAAGATTCTACAGATGGGCTGAAAGTATGAAAATTGTCAGTCATAATGCATAAGGGGGAGCACTGCCTTCATCAGCAAAAAAAAAAACATAGCACCAAAATGTTGCATATTGTCAGTAAATAAAAATATTACTGAAGAGGGTCTGAAGCAGTCCTGACAGTAGGCCAGATCTTCAACTAGGACAAGTTGGCATCCTTCTGTTTTATAACACTATGGTATGTTAAATGGGTTGATGCCAATTTGCTTCAACTGAGTCACATTGGAGTAAGTGCCACTGAAGCAGTGCTTGTATTACTTACCTGGTCTAATTCCTTTTTTTGCCTGATCCTCTCTGCATCAGCTTCAGAAATAATTTTCAAGAGTTTTCTTTCTTCTTCCTCTTGTTTTTCAATAAAGTGTTTAGTCTCCAGAGCTTGTTGTCTCATTTTAAGCAGTTCACTCTGGCAGAAACAAAAGAAACAGGAAATAAATTGTGTTTAGTAACAGCTTCCGACTTTATAAACCTGGGAATTTAGGATTATTAAGATTTAGACAATCTTGTACTCTTGCTTAGGTTCTCATGTTTTGTTGGATTCAGTTTGCTGGTTCTCAACAGCAAATGAGAAATACCACACAAATGTACACTAAACTCTTATAAAAGAAAGGTTGTAACAATATGTCCAACATCTTTGTATTGTACATCATACCCAAGAGAAATGTCAGTGTGGTTTAGGCTCAATTTGTAATTCGCAGGCATTTCTTAAACTTACAGAGGGGGAAAATGAACAGTAGTAGATAGTGGAGAATTCAGTTGCTTACAGTAATAACCCACCACTATCTTTATAATTTATCAAACTTGTCTGGAATTGGTGCAAGTGAAATTACACATTTTCTGACACAGAAAATTCTGACACAATCACACAGACGGTTGATTGATCATGAAATCACTACAATCAGATGACTTAACAGCATTACCCCTGCAGTGGACAGAGAATACTTTCAGACAAAGCCCATAACCATGGAAGCAGTCCAGGTCACCTTCATTCAAGCTGCTGACATTTTTATAGTGTTCTTGAAACAGCATAGAGAACTCAGAAACAAAGATTCAAGGATAGTACATAAGATAATATTATGTAATACTGTAAACTACAACACGTTCACAGTCAAGAGTTGAGGTGATAAAGTTTGCATATAATAGGGCTGTTATTTATCTGTAATTTATTGCCTTTGCCTTTAGCAAAGTTGTATCATTCCTAGATACATTGCTAGTACAGTAGTTCACTGGGAGCAACTCAAGGTGTGCTATTTTCAAATATGATAATGATACCATGCCAAAGGAACCACCAAATATTCTGTGGTGCTTCAATTGTTAAAGGGACAATCACTTTGTTAAAGTGATAGAAAGGAAAAGGCTATTCCTATTGATTTCTTAGTTGGGAAATACCTTTAAAAGCAAGAAACATTTGCGATATATTTTCAGGACAGGATGTTTTTCAGAGACAGAGACATTTGATCCTGCTCTGTCACAACAGATTCTGAAAAGGGCCGGTTCCAATAAATGGGGATGTGTGTTTGGTCTCTTGAGAAAAAGCAATGCAACAACAACAAAACTGGTTGCGAAAGCAATAATTTAAGAGAACTGGTAGAACTGTTCTGTTATACTAATAAAATACCTTGCTCCCATGTTGTTTTCTTTAATAAAACTTTTATTCTCCCATATGCACAATATTTGCAGAGCAAATATCAGCAGAGCAAAAATGGATGCTGCCTAGTATTAAATGCAAGCAACAGTGTGTAAAAAGTAACTGTTTGGAAGAGTAAAACTGTTCATGTGGTTCAGCATTGCTGAAACATTTTTTTAATATCAAAACGCTATCCTTTTTGTCACAGAATATACAAGCTGTAAACAAGATACAGCTTTAGATGTTGGCTATTGATATAAGCAAATATTCTGGATCAGATGCATTAAGTGCATGAAAATCTAAGCTATCTTGCAAAGCAAAATCCAAACAACTACCAGACAATCCAGGAGCCCCATGTTAAGCAGAAGCCCTAGAGGTGTCAGAAATCTCACAAAGGTGTGATCTAAATACCTTCAGGTATAGGATCTGCACATTCCCATGTGACAGGAAACACACAGTGTATGAGTAAGCTTTCCCGCTGGTCCACTGGATCCTGGCCAAAGCACCAAAGACAAATGTAGAAGTTGCATACTAGGACACCCACTGAATTGAATGCATAATATTTGGGTTGGGGTTGGGAAAGATGTAAAAGAGGGAGGAGGAAACTCTTAGCATTCTAGGTATTTAGCACAAATTCTGTAGGCATCAGAGCAGAATGCCCTCAAGCCAGTTACTAAAGTGAGGATAGGCCACAGACACTTTTGCTGCTGAATAATTGAACAGGTAAAAGAGCACAGCAATCAAGCTGCTGTCAAACTGTTGGTGGATGGTTCCACAGTGACAAGGCAGCATTAGAGGCTAGTTAAAGGAGACAGTTTTGCACAAGAAGTAAAGTTCTGAATGCTTTCTCCATAGCTGATATAACAACTCGCAGACAGACCGAGAACCCAAATTCATCACCCCTTTACAGAGTTCTATTGACATTCTGTCATAACAGTAATGTGCTGACAATAGCTGAAAACCTACAGAGTCACTGGAGCGTAGCATAAAACTGACAAAAAGAAAGCAAAGCAAAAAGTAGCAAGGAAGGGATCTCCCCCTTTAGTGAAAATAAAAATGACCTGCTATGGATGCTGTTTCTCTTTATCTTAAAAAAACAAAAAAAGAGAGACTGAAGTTGAGAAAGTTACATTTCATGCAGCCAGATTCAGCTACATTCACTGTAACTAAAAGAAGCACTGACAGTATTCTCCTACTTTCTTTTTGATTTAGCACAGATTTATGACTTTCTGCTGCTCCTCAAAAGTAAATTTCCACCTGACCAGAAATCCACTCATAGGGAATCTAGTTATTTGGTAATGAAAAACTAAAATCTCTCCCTGTGTGTATCTTTTCTTCTTTCTTAATATACTACAGGGAAGGCGGAATTACTAACTTTGCACAGCATTTCAAATGTTAATTGTTAAGTATCCATCAATACTAGAAATAAGACTATGCAAAGAATAGTATTTCCACATCAGCTTCCAATAGTGAACAACTCCAGAATCCTGGATATCTCTGCTCTATATTAGGTTTTGCCTCTCTATTCCTTTTGGCCTGCTCTCCATATTCAACCAGTTCAGCTATCTCTCTTCAAATCCTTGATCTTCTTTTCCCCTAAAGTTACAAAAGATCAGTCTGCGGTTATTCAGTCCCACCATTCACCATACCCACCATTCACCCTACAATCCACCATACCCATCCTTACACCTGGGGAGGGGTTTAGATTTGGTGGTGGTATCTCACTTCCCAGCTCTTTGGACTCAGCCAGACTCCCACAGGCTGCCAATTGTGCAAGTAGGTATGACGCTCACCAGTGGGAGCCAGCAGAAAGCCCTGGGGTGGGGCATTCAAAAGGATGAAGGGGGGGCTGTGCCAGCTCAGGATTGACTGGATCCCAAGTCAGTCTTACAGCCACAGCACAATGGCATAGGGCCCAATCGCTGCACCAGCTTGGGCTGGCACAGCCATCACGTATGGATGGGGCCTGAGCATCCTCCACCATCACCTGCCTCCACAGGCACCATGAGGAGCAGGGCTGCAGATGCAGCGGTGGCCCTGCCACTCCACAAAGTCCCACTGGCCAGAGGCAGGAGGTAGGAGTTTGGACTGGGCCCTTAGCCTAATTATCTAATGATTAAGCAACAAACTCCTCAAGTTAATTTGCAAATATTTAACCCTAGAGGTTTGTGCCAAATATCAGTGTAGTCTAGTAGTATTAAACTGGGGTTTAATGGGTATATCCACACTTACAATAATAATGTTATGACAGAGCAATCCAGACACCAATAGTTCAGTGGATTCCAAGCACAAGTGGCTAATGAAACATGAATGAAGGCAGTTGGCTAAAATGGCATTGGTACAACCTGTCAAGAAGGGAACTAAGACTACAATCCTATATATAATTACTTAGTAGTAAGATTCATTGGCTTAGTACCAGACAGCTATGTATGTTAAGCTAAAAAGGAACCATTTCCAGCAAAAGTATTAGATCTCTATAATATTCTTTACTATGGTTTTTCCTAGCAAGATCGTAAACTTTTTATAGTTGCATGGCCAGCAAAAATTCAGGAACTGACAATTTTCCATCTATGCATCTCCATGCCAGGAATCACACAAATGTTAAAGGGATACAAGCCCTGCCAGAAAAATGAGGGCAACCATGGAATATTGACTCTACCCTGCCACTTAAAGACTAGGGAACTTAATTTAAAATACTCCTATCCTACAAATCTGTTAAACAGAAGTTAATTCAACAAATGTAGACCAAAAAGTATGATGAATAACCAGCATGGGCCAGCAGAGAACTCTGTTTGAATTGCAGAGTCTTTTTGAGGAACCCCAAGTGTTAGTAGAATCAGTTATTTCCCAATCATCCCAGGGCACCCTGGCAGGAAAATCCTCCAGAGCTCTATGGAATCCAATGGCTTCCAGAGGAGGGACCATTTTAATAGGTGCCCCATCCTTGCAGGAGGGGAAAGGCTCATGCAAGCCTAAACCTAAGTAGGAAGTGAGTTTTCCATGACAAGTTGATAGACGTTAAATCCCACCAACCCCTTTCAGATCACGATCCAGCTCCTTGATCAAGTGTGTTCTATGTTGAGTTTGATGACGTTTTGGGACAGCCCCACTGCAGCCATTGCAGCCATTAAGTCCTGAGGCACCTGGATCTGGCAGCTTTAACATGGATGCTGAAATCCCCAGGAATCCACAACACCAAATCGGATACCACTTTTATCAGCTCAGGCTGATGGATGGAGCACAGCAGAATGAGCAGTACACCAACATATGCCAAGTGGCAGGGCCTCTTCTGGGCAATGGAATGGGAGACTTCCAGCTCTCCCTGCTTTCACTGGCAATGACTGCAGGATGCACTCCTACCATTACTAAAACCATAAATGTTCCACAACAGCACTAGTGCAGCAGCTCCTGCCCTTGGTCCACTCTGAAGAGCCACACAAGACGAAATATATTTTAATACTGCTCTTCAACAGCTATTGACAGAAAAAAGATGTCTTTTATATAGACAATAAAAAAGTCCATTCAAGAAGGTAAACAGGTACATTTCTGCCAATTCAACAACTTAAAACCAATTCCTTTACCTCTGATCAATACTGGGACACTTTTCCTAATGGAAGTTCCTTACCTTTAAGGCCTCTTTCTCTTTTTCTATCCGCTGGTGGTCCAGGTGCATTTTCACAAGAGCTGCCTCTTTAGCAGAGATCTCTTCTTTCAGCTGGTCTACCTGGTGTGTCATAATCTTCAGCTTCTTTCGCATTTCATTGATTTCATCCTAACATGACAGAATTGAGGGCTTACTATATGCAGGTACCAATGGCTCTAAAGCAGTGATAGATATAAAATCCACATTTTTCTTTCAGCATAGCCATACTCCACCCCAGAGCCAGTCCAGGAGGATACCATGAACAATGCCATCAAAAGCCAGAAAAATATCAAGAAGCAGGAGCAAGGTCTCAGGCTCCTGTCTGATATAAAGGTATAATACAATGACAAAATAAGAACTCTGGTTCTCACTTAGGTAAATGCAACAGAAGAAATATCACACACACAAACACACACATCCTTTGAAACTAGAGCTTATCATGTGATATACACATCATCACTCATGTAAAGAGAACAGGAGAAAGCTGAGTATAATCGTAGATATGTTACAAAGCCTCATGAAGAAAGCCAGCTATTTTAAAAGTTGGTATGCACATATGTTTCCAAATCTACTACTATGGTAATGAAAATGGAAAAGCTCCCATGAATTTTGCAAAGCTTGAGGTTACATTCGTTTAAATTAACAAGCAACAATTCCCAAAACCAGAATGATCCAAAAATGTGAAACCATCCTAGCAAGTACTGAAATTCAGCCAACAACTCCTTTATCAAATGGCTTTACTGTGTCTGAGCTTATGATACCCTGGAGATCAGAAGCAGTGTGAACAGGGTTGGGCAATGGGGGAATTTTCCTTATTAAATAATCTGAAAATGCCTACCAAGAGGTTTGCTTTCTGAAACAAGCTTGCACCAATTAAGCTTATATCCCAAGAGAGATGACAATTCTGCATAGATTTTCAGATAAGACCATCTTTGTTTTCATGGCTGGCTGGCTTGTTACTGAACTATGAATGATGGTCTTATTGCTATAGCATAGCTTGACTATACTATAAAATTTATGTTCAGCTACAGATGTTTTCTCCTACTCCTGAATTTTGCAATTCATGCTAACTGAATCCTCTTGCTCCCCACACTCTTTTGAAATAAATTAACACCTTATAGATGCCATAATTACCCACTTCCATTTGGGCAAGGGCTATATTCCTAGCCAGGTACAAGCCTGTGCAAGAAATTCCCTAGTCAAATTTAAATTATGTTCTCCTTACTAGGCCACCTTTGTAGCTACTTCCTTAATAATTTGATGGGCTAACTTTCCCTCAGAAAAAAATCTGTATCTTTTTCCGTCATGCTGCAATGACAGCTTTTCCCTACTATAGAAAATAATTTGTTGCTTAATGTTGATTCTTCACACAAAGCTGAAGACAAAAGGAAATTGATGGTTGAGCTATCAATCTGATACAGTCTTGTTTGACTCTCCTTTAGTCCCCTGGAGCTTTGGATGCCCCTTGGCAGACACTTTCAAGGCATCTACTTTAAAACAATACTATATTCAGATAATCATATCATTCAAGAGCATTTATTTGTAATGTTTTTGAGCTAGGCCATCTGAAAAATGGTTCCCTTCTCCACTGGGTACAAATTTCTAGATCATCTTTGGAGGACATCTGATATGGAAAGCTCTCCTGTAATACAGAACCACCAGAGACTTGTCACTTTCCTAATTTGACTCCTGACATCTCTTCATCTTTCAAAGACATACATGTGAAGATAGTATCGTGGATGGTCCCCCTGCAGCCACCTAGACTCTATGTTCTAAAGCAGAGCTTTCCAAACTTTTCATGTTGGTGACACACTTTTTAGACATGCATCCTTTCGCAGCACAGTAATTCAGTTTTACTAGGAAACTAGAGGTTAAACTAACCCCTTTCCAGCCCCAGGAGGAGCGTGGGGAGCATTCATGTGACACACCTACACACTGCAGCTGACACGTTAATGTGTTGCAACACACAGTTTGGAAAGCTCTGTTCTAGAGTCACGATTGTTTGCATAAACAGTCAGGTCAATGTGGCTGAGGTTTGTAATATAACTTTTCCCACAGGAGGGACATAGATATGAAAACAATCATGTCAGCATTGTTATATCTTCTAGATATTAACCAAGAATGGGTGGCTCAAGTGGAGGCTGGGCTATAGGACCACAGCCCTCCTACTGAAAATATCAAGCCATTAAAAATAATAATAATCCTCAAAAACTCAAAGCCACACGCTTTTTCCGTCCCACACACATTTTATACTGTCTTTAATTTACAGAGTCATTTCTGTCAATCTGAAAATTGCAGCCCTCCCATGTCAAAATGTTACCAGCCACCACTGCATGGCTCAACTAAAATGGGAAACAAACTTAGTAAGAGAACTGCTTTTTAGTACCTGGGCTTCGATCAAATTTTTACTGTAGAGGTTTCTGTCTGATCTCACAGCTTCATAGAGGTTCTGTTGCTGTTTTAATTTTGTTTCAGACTCTGCTATCTGCTTTTTATAGTCAAAGATCTGCATTTCCCGCACTTTGATATCTTCCATGTGATGGAGGACCTGTCAGAGAAAGCATAAAATAAATATCATTAAACCATCCTTCTATGACGACTAGCAGTGCTCTATATACAGACTTTACTGCAAATACAAAGATTTCTGTTCAACCAGACAGATTTGGGCTAAGGTCTGGATTATATTTACAGACTTTATTGTGTTGTAAAAGAATGCAGCTGCAATCTGAAGGAGGAGACTAGCATGGGAAGGCAGGATCATAACCTTTCCCCACACACCATTTTCCCACTGAAAATTGTCTCTACTCAGCTTTTCCCCAACAGGAATAAAAGCAGCTGGGAAGAGGTCAAGTCCACTCTGCAATTATTAAAAAGATTTTTGCAGTGTAATCTTATACATATCTACTTGTAAATAAGTTGCATTGCATTCAGAGGGATATGCTCCTAGGTAAATGGGTAGAGGATTGCAACCTCTGTGTAAAGGTAAGGTAAAGGACCCCTGGATGGTTAAGTCCAGTCAGAGGCGACTATGGGGTTGCTGTGCTCAACTCACTTTCAGGCCAAGGGAGCCGGCATTTGTTCACAGACAGCTTTCCAGGTCATGTGGCCAGCATGACTAAACCACTTCTGGCGCAACGGAACACCATGACGGAAACCAGAGCACACGGAAAGGCCGTTTACCTTCCCGCTACAGCAGTACCTATTTATATACTTGCACTGGCGTGCTTTCAAACTGCCAGGTTGGCAGGAGCTGGGACAGAACAACAGGAGCTCACCTCATCATGTGGATTCTAACCACTGACCTTCCGCATTAAGCAGGGATATGGGGCGGTAGTTCTTAAGTTGTGTCTTTTCAGACTCATTTTTCGGTATTAGTGCAATATAAACTTCCTTCCACGACTCTGGCACTTTTTTCCCCTCCAAAATTTCATTACAAACCTCCTTTAGTGGTTGAATTATCCAATCCTTTAAGGACCTATAATATTTTGAGGTTAAGCCATCTGGCCCTGAAGATTTGCCCAATTGCATGTTCTGGATGGCACCTTCCACCTCCTGTTCTGTTATTTTGTAGTTCAACATTAACTTGTTTTCTTGAGAGATTTTTTGAAGTCCATTTGTTTTTAAGAATTGGTCTAAATCACACTCTTTCTGTGGCCCTTGTGTATATAGCTGTTTAAAGTACCTCTGGAAGCATTTTCTAATTTCCACTGGATTCTGGATGTTCTTTCCTTCCACTTCCAAGTTAGTAATGGTGTTAAGTTTTTGTCTTTTTTTCATTTGCCAAGCTAACAGCTTTCCACATTTATTGGCTGATTCAAATGTCCTTTGTCTCATCTGTTTAATTTTCCATTCTATTTCCTGATTCATCATCTTCATATATTGAACTTGGTATAACTTTATTTCTCTCAGAATCTCTTGTGACTTTGGTTTCGCTCTCAGTTTCTTCTCCCCCTCTTTTATTTTTTCTAAAATTTTATCTTTTTTCTCATTTTGGGTTCTCTTCTTTATTGCATTCTGTTGAATTAGAAACCACCTCATAACTGCTTTGCTTGCGTCCCAGATTACTCTTTTTTCGATGGTAGTGTTCATATTTATCTCAAAATAGTCTCTCAAGGTTTTTTTGGGCCTTCTTGGTAACTTCTTGATCTCTAAACAAGGTGTCATTCATCCTCCATCTGAAGGAACCGGTAGGTGTTAATTTCATCTCCAGTGGTTTAGACCACAGCACCACAGCGTCCTGCAACCTCTGTGTATATGTATATGTATATGTATATGTATATGTATATGTATATGTATATGTATATGTATATACACATGTGCATATAGTTAATATGAAATGAAACCGCATGTTATGAAGAATGCAACATTGCTGTCTTTCTCTCATTTGTAGTGACCCAGTTGTTTGAACTGTCTATTGACAGATTTCAAATTTGTTGCTGAAAACTAGCCTATGAATCAATACATCACCTTAGTAATGAATCTTGCTCTGCCAAAGTGTGAAATGGTTGTCTTAAGGAGCTGCAATTATTTTCGAATAGAGGAGAGCAAAGTACAGTTTTTTTTAAAAAAAAGGTGTCTACATGGATCATTTTAGCCAATGAATACTCTTTATACGGTCAGTGGAATTTAATAATCTTGGACAGCTCTGTGTTATAACTTCAGGCGCGCATGAGAATCCTCAGTATCTGAGCTACTATGGGCTCTTGTCATTCTCATTTATCATAACTGTCAATCCGGATATCCCATTGTACTCCATACCTCTTTGCAAGGATAAAAACAGCCAAAATGATTTGCCTAATCATATCACAATTCACCTTTCTTAAGGAAAACAAGCATTTGGAGGAGAAAACATGGAGACAATGAGTGGAAGCAGATCATCTGGAATGCACTGGACAGTTTGCCATGAAGAAATTTAAGGTGTCACAAACACTTAAATCTTAATACCTCTCCAGCATACTTTTTTACACTATACTATATTGATAGGGAAGAAGGAAAATTGCCTTCTTAAAGAGCAGGGCACATATGAGCTCTCAAATTAAGCAAGAAGAGCATAGAGCTTCCAAATAGTGAAGTTTGTAAGTTATGAAACCGGCAGGAAAAACATTTTACTACTACAACTTCCTCTTGGAAAATATGCATTCATGTTCATCTCTGCCATGCAAGATACTGGAAGAAACCTATCCCAAGCACCAAGGTTTTTTGTGCTTTCTTGTACAAAATCCCCCCTCCCATATAATTATTTACATACAGTGGTGCCCCGCAAGACGAATGCCTCGCAAGACGGAAAAACCGCTAGACGAAAGGGTTTTCCGTTTTGAAGTTGCTTCGCAGGACGAATTCCCCTATGGGCTTGCTTCGCAAGACGAAAATACCTTGCGAGTCTAGAATTTTTTTTTTTGCTTTTCCCCCCCTTTATCTAATCTGCTAAGCCTTTAATAGCCTTTAATAGCCTTTTAGCAGCTAATCCCCTAAGCCTTTAAGCCTTTAATAGCCGCTAAACCGCTAATAGCGCTAATAGCGCTAATCTGTCAATGGGCTTGCTTCGCAAGACGAAAAAACCGCTAGACGAAGACTCTCGCGGAACGGATTAATTTCGTCTTGCGAGGCACCACTGTATATGCTATGTAGTTTCCACTTCATTTATCCAACTGACTGGGGAGAGTGGTACAAACTTTGCAGTAATGAGAGACATGGGAATATTTTAAAAATGTATTTTCACTAATAAAACTCATAAGGAGAAGCCAGAGAAATCTGATAAATTTTAAATTTCAGATATCTGAGGTTCTGGAAATGGTTTCTTCATTACCTTGACATTAGATGGTAATGAAACAGATTGCTGGAATTCGTCCACCCTGCCTAGCTTCCTTGCATTGAGGCCTATTGTTTAAATTCATAAATTTATGTTCATGAACCTTCAAAGGAAGAGATAACATTAATGTTCAGAACAGCTACTCAGTAGTAGACCTTGCAACCAGCACATTTGTCTATGCTGAAAGAATTCAAGCTTTGCTAGTGTATAGTAGGGTTATCAGTGTGCAAGCTTTGGGGCGAATGCTTAATTAATTGATTACCAGATACCTCTAACCAACTCAGGAGATAAAGTACATCTAAATATAGAAAGTTTTATTGCAGAAGTGGCAATGGTACTCAAGTGCATTTGTTGCTGACTGCAGAGATGCCTAAAAACTGCTTACAGTTTAAAACAAAAGCAGAGACCCAGCTTATAATTTAACTCCTACTCCTACCTTTTGCTTTTTCCTGTTAAAAACAAGTTGCCAATAGCAATAAAAGTGAACTCAAAATCAATAAAGTGTATTTCAAATCTGAAGCCTAGCTTAGTGATTATATAGGCTGAAGCAAAATTAGAAAACAGATCACTGAATTGTAACCATGCATCTTGGGAGTTGATGAACAAAAGTACAATAATAAACTACTTTACTATGTTTTACAAGTTGGCATCCATGGTTCTGAGGCTGACTGTGCTTTCATAAGAATTTATAAAATTGTTGCGTGGGAGTAACACCTCTCCAATAACTCTCAAACTGGAACTGGATGAATTAATGGATATTTTATTATGAATAACTCAAGAGTTGTCAACTGAGATTAGGAAAACATTTCCCTTACAATGCTGAGTTCTTCTTTTTTTTCTGAGAACTCTGTAATAATCTCCTTTACAGATACCATGTTGGGAAGAATGCACAAAGTATCACTTGATGAGCTTCAGTAGGGTGATTTTGCATTGAAAGTCAGATTTTCAACTGCCATACATACATGGAGCTGAATCGGAACAGACTGCTCACAAATATCTGTCTTCTTAGGACAATGTGCCATGACTCAAGTAACTTGTACCATCTGAAATAGTTGTACTAATTCAAATGCATTTTTAAAATTCTAGATGCACTTTTGGCATAGCACCTGTTATTCACGCTTGGTCAATTTGCTGGAGGTTGTCATCTGTAAAGGTAATCTGAATCCTCTGCTCTTCGGCATGATTCAATGAACTAATGAACTCTAACATTTCTTCATCAGAAACTCATATGAAACTGTAAATACTAAACTTCCTGGATTTCAATGTACTGATCTTGTACAGGGTGTAATCATCTCAGACTGAAAGCAGTCAGCATCCTTCCACTGTGACTGAGGCCACAGTGCACAATGTACATCAAGCAACCTATCTAGCAAACTGATGTGCCTAAATTGGAATAAGAAGCCTGGAGAGGGTTGTTTCTCTCACAAACAATTTGGCACATCATACATTATTTGCAAATCAGTATATAAGTTTTGGAAACTGATCTACAACATTAAAAAATCTGAAAGAAAACCTCAGTTGTGACTAGATCAGTTGAAAAAATAGACTAAATTATTTGATCCTGGGAAGCTCTCTGGGGTCAACTAGAACAATATAAAAAGGCAATTGCTTCTGAGTTGCTTCAAAGCACAGAAGTATTAGCTCTATAGCCGGCCACTGGTTCTGTCAATATCCTCATACTAGGAAGCCAGATTTAGGACAATTTGCATTAGTGCTTTTGTTCGGCCCAGACATCATGTGCCATGGTGCATCTCCTACCTTTGCCATAGCCCTGATCAAGGCTTTTTGCAGCAGGAACTCACCAGAACTTAGTTCTAGCACCTCTCAAGTGGGCACCATTGCCATTCTAAGAGAATAAGGGAGGTGTTCATGGTGAGTTCCGGCACCTCTTTTCCAGAAAAATAGCACTGGCCCTGATCTATTTGTATTTTGCTTTTCACCCTCCATTTTCACCAACTACTGTGCAATCCTAAGCATGCATACTCAGAAATAAATCCCAGAATTCATTAAGTTTTACTTTCCTGTAACTATGCTTCGGAGTGCAGCCATTGTTAAATGAACTAAGTTGCTTATCACAAATTCTGCGTTGGATCTACATTATTTCCTTCACTTACTACTAAGCAATCTTGTCTTTCAGACTACATTTGAAAGGTTACTTTGCAGAGCATTACTTGTACTCTGGGGACCAGGATATCTAAAGGATTACCTTACCCATTATATACCAGCCTGGCAACTGCATTCCTCAGTTGAGAGTACCATACACCCCAGAAGTGTGCTCAGGCTATAGCAGAAACTGGGCTTTTAGTGTTGTCACGCCAGCTCTGTGGAATCACATAAGATATGCACCTAGAGTGATACTGTTTAGGCACCTACTAAAGACATTTTTGTTTAGGAAAGTTTTCCCTGAAGCATAATTAGTCATTTATGAAGATCAATTTTATATTTGATTAAATGGTTTCATTGTTTTTAGAGTCTGTATGGATAGTTTTATTGTTTTAGAATTCTGTTTTTACTAATACACTGCTTTGATGGCTTTATGCCATGAAGTGCTCTATAAAAACATTTAATAATAATACAGTGAAAAACAGTAATAAAGGAAAAGAGATATATTAATTGTCCTACATAGAAAATTAGCCCTGTAATGTGTGCCCACATGAATAGCTTTATCTTCCATCAATCTTCTTTTAATTAAACTATTTACTTATTTCATATATCAAGTTCTTGCAAATGCATTATGTATTATGTGGCACCTAGAGTAGCGCCTATTCTGCTGAGTTAAAGCAGTCTATTGGTACATGTGGCATAAGGTGATCTCATAGGTATACTTCTTCCAAATTGTTAGGAGCCTTATATACAAATAGTAACACCTTTAACCCAACCCAGCCCAGTAGCAAACCTGCAACCAGTGCAGATCATTCAAATTTGTGTCATCACTACAGGTTGTTGGAGCTCATTCCATTGTTTCAATTATGTGCTGTGTGGAGAAATACTTTGTCCTGAATCTTTCAACATTCAGCTTCTTTGGATGCCTACAAATTCTAGTGCTATGTTATGCTACTTCCTTGACCTAACAATGGTCACAAGTTTGGGGCTTTATATACTGAATTATCAGTATATAATATCAACAACCTCGGATATGCAGATGACACAACCTTGATGGCAGAAAGTGAGGAGGAATTAAAGAACCTTTCAATGAAGGTGAAAGAGGAGAGCGCAAAATATGGTCTGAAGCTCAACATCAACAAAATGAAGATCATGGCCACTGGGCCTATCACCTCCTGGCAAATAGAAGGGGAAGAAATGGAGGCAGTGAGAGATTTTACTTTCTTGGGTTCCATGATCACTGCAGATGGTGACAGCAGTCACGAAATTAAAAAATGCCTGCTTCTTGGGAGAAAAGCAATGACAAACCTAGACAGCATCTTAAAAAGCAGAGATATCACCTTACCAACAAAGGTCCATGTAGTTAAAGCTATGGTTTTTCCAGTAGTGATATATGGAAGTGAGAGCTGGACCATAAAGAAGGCTGATCGCTGAAGAATTGATGCTTTTGAATTATGGTGCTGGAGGAGACTCTTGAGAGTCCCATGGACTGCAAGAAGATCAAACCTATCCATTCTGAAGGAAATCAGCCCTGAATGCTCACTGGAAGGACAGATCGTGAAGCTGAGGCTCCAATACTTTGGCCACCTCATGAGAAGAGAAGACTCCCAGGAAAAGACCCTTATGCTAGGAAAGATTGAGGGCACTAGGAGAAGGGGACGACAGAGGATGAGATGGTTAGACAGTGTTCTTGAAGCTACCAACATGAGTTTGACCAAACTGTGGGAGGCAGTGGAAGACAGGAGTGCATGGCATGCTCTGGTCCATGGGGTAATGAAGAGTTGGTCATGACTAAATGACTAAATAACAACAACAACATACTGAACTAAAGATTTTGAGAGTTACTATTATTTTGGAGCTTCCAGATGGATTGTTTATTCGCACAAAACCTGATTGTTACACAACAATTTCTAGCACAAATATCCCATTACCTTTTTAATAGCAACATGTTTGGTAAGAAAGGTGATGGAAAATTGCACTAGAAAGCATGGGATAATAACCACTAGTTGGCAATATCATAAAACTTCAACACAAACATATTAGGATGAATACTCAATAAACAGACAATGCTGTATAATTTCTGCTCAAGTTGTGTGTGAATATATCAGCATGATTGCTCAATAAGCAGCTGGTTTGGAAAGTCCCCAAGTCTCCTAAACCTAGAAATTTGGCAGGGAGATCATGCTTTGTTATGTATAAGCTTCTCAGACAAAGGGAAAAAGGGAAGAAGCACTGAAGGGAATGCAGTAAACATCAAAATCACCAAAATCGTATTCATTATGTTCTTCTTTCACAGTTTTATTTGTACAACCTATTGGCAATTTTTAGGTATTAGCATTTTTGTTCCTTGGTTTTTATGTGTAGCTAGAGAGTACCATATGAAATGCATTCAATGATAAAACAGATCTTGAGCTAATTCTCACTTAAAGTTGGTGATCTATAAACATCCTGATCTTTTTGCAAAATGTATTTGCACCAGCTATGTGCCAAGGCTGTCCAAAGTCAGAATTCACCTGTATTTTTTTTCTTGGTTTATGATTGTTAGGGAACTGCCATCGGAGCTAGAGGCGGAGGGAAGGCTCCAGAGGGATGCAGGAGAGGGTCCCAGTAGGGAGAGAGGCAGCCCATCTGCTGGGGAAGGAAATCAGCGTAACACCAGTGGAGAAGGGGGGCAGATGGGGGAATCGGAGAGGAGGCTCCAAGACTCCTCGCCGGAGACCAGCGGAGAGAGTACGGGTACTCCGCTGCCCACACCCTCCCTGCGCAGAAGACTTCCGCGCAGGGAGAGTAGGAGGAGACTTGGCGTCAAACAACTTTTATGCTGGAAAAGGTTCAAGAAACGCTCACTGACGGATTCTGCCAGCGACAGAGACAGTCACGATGCTGGAGGCTGTTCAGTCAGAAAGGGTTTAACCAGGTAACCTCGCCAGCAGCAGCGGCAACTTACGCACGAGCAACCCCTAAATCCACTACAATGATGTTTCCATTTTGGACTGGAATTACATATACTCAAACTTGGACAATCACCTTTAGTTATAAGGCCCTTTCTGAGGCGGCAGCAATGACTGATGTGCCTTGTTCATAACAGGCCTCAATAACCTTTTTTAAGAATACCCAAGAGTTCTTAATATTCCTTCCTATGGTTAACATCAACTGTGGTGCAGCAAAGCATGGACCAATGGTACCAAATAGTATGGGAAACAGCCCTACTAGAAAAATTAACTAATAAACTGAAACTGACATGGGGACAAACAGAAGAAGACGCCTTCACCCCAGTATGGCTCCCCTTTATCAAATACACAGCCCAACAAGGCAATGACAATAATCCACCAACAGCATACAAATCAATATGGCTAACCTGATCCAAAACACCCACCCACCTCACTCACACACAAAAACAAAGATCACCACAGCCAATCACAAGCAAACAATCACACCCCAGGCCAACCCCAACCTCTCTCACCACCAAAGGAACACAAGTAACGCTGGCACCAAACTCTACATACATTAAGCATAATAGAAACATCGGCACCCGACCCCACCCCCACCCATCTTCCCTCCCCCCACTCCCCCTTTCTTTTTCCTTTCTTTCTTTCTTTCTTTTTTTTCTTTCTTCTCCCCCTAATGCCTCAACAAATGAAATGGATTTGTAAAAATGTTACATGGGAAAAAAATACATGAGGCATTACACTTCTGTAAAACAAGAAAATCCTTAAAAACAAAACCTGTGGTACCGCACTGAAAGGGCCATGGCTCCTGTTGTTGGCATCCATCTGTCAAACATACATGCATACATGCAATGGAAAATGTAAAAATCATGCTACCACATAAAAATTCCTCTTCTTGCTTACTTAACAAATCAAGAGACTGTGGACAGGTGATCACATCAATTTCTCTCACTTTCCACACACACAGGCACATACTGATACACAGTATGTAATGCTATTGATAAGGATTCACTGCCATAAACACAAGACAATTTAAGATACCAAAATAATAACAAATCTTACTTAAATGGGATTGTTATTACAAGGAATTTATACATGCTGTCATACAAGAAGGCACAAATTTGTTAATCAGATGAAGATACAGAAAGTAATCATAAAGTGAGCAGGGAATAACAATGAGTAGAAAACAGACTGGAAGCTAGCATGCCTGTCAGTGAGTTTTATGTAGAGCTCTTCAGTCAGTTCTCAAGCAAATAACAGAGCATTTTACAGTCACATAGCAGGGCAAGCAAGCAAGAAAGCTCCACCTAACCAGCTTGAGTGAACAAAACAGGCTATGACAAAGCTTCTGCAAAAATTCACAACTTGTGTTTTGTTCAACAGATCAGATTCAAGTTACATACTGAGCAGTAACAGCTTTTTATGCAAGAAGATAAGTCTAGATATCCGCATGGCCAATCTAAAAAACCCTTCTTAATTATAATGCCATGTCCTTTATATTACTGAGAAAAGAGTAAGTTATTTTATAGTGGATAAATAATTGATTAATACACAAGCAATTTCACCTTAAGTGCATGAAGCCAGGAGATATCTGTGTATAAATATTAGTGGTCAAGGTATGGGCTGTACTACAAAAGCAACCAGCTAATGAGTGCAGCGTAAAGTTGGAGGAGAGCAAGGGGGGAAGCTTTTTCCCACTTGCCCAAGCTTTCAGATAAAAAATGCAAAAAAAACCTTATATAGTCATTCAGGATTTAACAGCTGTAACAACCTAGCAATGTCTCTCAAATGGGAAGAGAAATGAAGGGCAAGCAATTTTCTAGGGAGTACTTGCCTTTCTTTGTCCCTCTACATGCTATCTGAGGCCTGATAAGACATGCTCTGCACAGCTCCTTGTAATTTCTGCAGGCTCTTCACCCCTTTTCTCCCATTTCCGCATGCCTGCTAATTCACAAAATCCCATGCATCCTGCTTATATGTTCCAACAAAAACAAAATTATTCTGTCCCCAACCGGCAAGTTTTTCACATCATGCAAAACATGTTAGTTAAGTAAAAAGATGTCAATTTTCTTAATCTGCATAATTTACTCCCATCACAGAATTATAGTTTTTCTGGCAGCATAATTAAGTATGTTTATTTTAGATCCTAGATCTCTTGATTAGCCAAGCAACAGGAGGGTTTTTAAGACACTAACTGTAGATACCAGAATGTATGCTTAAGTGGACTTTTTAAGATGTAAAGAACATGCAGAGGAATAAGTATAACTCACTGGAACTTTATTCTTGTACCCTAAAGACCACTGAGAGGACCTTGGCAAAATCCATATAGAAAGTCAAGAACGGAAAGGAACATCTTGTTAGTTCTGAAAGGCAAAAGTCTGCAAACAACTCTCTCGTACCTTCTGTGTGAGATCACTGGCTTCATTGATATAGCGATCTCTCTCTTTTTCGAGCTGAAAGATTATCTTTCTCTGTTTCTGAGCCTCATCCTTATAATTCTGAATTTCTTCTTCCAGGTTCTTCTTTGACTGTTCATGGAGCTTAACAAGGTTCATCTGCTTTTGAGTAACGGTAGCAGCCTTGAGCAAGTTCTGCAAACAAACGGTGAAGATGGTTAGGGGACACATTGTATAAGAGTGATTTCACAAAGCCTAATAATACCAAGCACTCAATGTCCAAACATGACATTACATGGGAGATACATGACATGGGAATTTCCTGACTTTTTCTTATTTAATGAAAAGCAGCCATAGGAGGCAGTAGTAGAATGAAAGTAACAGCAGAGGAGTAGGGGTGGGGGGAGAAGACTGCTTAATTATGTCTCCTCTGGCTGTTTTCCCGCTCAAAATCTTCCTAGCGCCTTTTCTAGAAGACTCCTCCTTCACCCCTCACTGCAGCCTCCCACAGTTGCTTTTGATGGAAGAAGAAATGTGGAGAGACTATGTAACATAGTTTGACTCTCATTGCCAGAAAAGTACATAAATCATCCCAAGGTGGTACTCTTAACACCTGGTATTTCATTTTTAAAAAATGCTTGTTCCCAAGATGCAAGACACTCCATTTAAAGTTTGCATGTTACTACAGATAGTGGACAAAGTTTGCAATCCCGGGCACAACTGGCATCCGTGAAACTTCGCCAAACAGACTGTCTACAGAACTGCAGCACTTTGTTACATTTATATTCAAGAATAATTCTTTTCAATAGGGATGGAGGATAAATTTGTTCAGTCTGCATTATGTCACAAACCAACTAGTCCTGGACTAACATGAATCAGAACACAATCCGCAAAACCAAAAAGGAAACAGACGTATGACTGAGTGCATGCAAAACTGAAATGGAACAGAAATAGGCTGATCCAGTCATCGCTAATGATCAATAGATGTATATCTGTCAGACTGATTTTTAGTTTTACCAATAATGCCCCTGCCGTGTTTTTCCCATTGGGCCACTCTCAATAAGAAGGATGCTGTTGCTGTCCATCAGGTCACCTGATGGAACGGCAAAGTTTTTTTTCCAGTAAAAGAAAGACTAAAACTCTCTGCCACCTCATTTCTATTATGGTATGCCACATCACCCACAAAAGTAAAAGAATTTCTCCCAGCCCCTGCCACCAAAAATGCAACCCTTTCATAGAAGATTGATGGGCCCAAGAAAGGGGAAGCATTTTCCAGCAGCAGTGTGCATATTCATACTTGACCAAATAACTACTAATGACCACAACTAGGATTTGGTTTTGTACAAATGACTGGGAGATGCATTTTCTAGAGTCAGATGTACACACTCACCTTGTTCAATATGTCCCTTTCTCTCACCAGCTCATCTATAGCTTTTTTGTCAATTTCAGCTTGTTTTTTTGCACCTTCCAACTCTAAAACACAGGAAAAGTTGATAAACCTTGAGTTCAGAGTCAGACTGCATAACTTGAACAAAACAAAACATTATGGGATGTTATTTTTTAAACGCAGTTTTACTTTAAAACTAAAAGTCAATATGATTATTCATTACTTCTGACAAGGTGACAGCAGAAAGGCACTAACTTGGAGGTTTTGCCCCAGTGCACACTTTACTCAGAAGTAAGCCCTGCTTAAGTCAATGGCCCTTGCTCTCTGATGTGAACATGCAGTGGCACACACTCTGGAAAGTGGTCAAGGCAAGAGAGAAAACAGGGGAAAGCGAATCAGCTATGGTGAATTAAAAGCCTCAACTGTTACCACATCAGCCGAAAGGCCGCTCTCAGGGCAAACAGAGGGAGCGGGGTGGGGGGGACAGGAGCAGCTGCCGTGCTAGGACAGCGGACCAAGCAGCAGCGTCCTTACAGACAGTACCACTGCAGACTAGGGAGGGGGCTCTGCAGGGTTGCTGCATCAGCCCATGCCATGTCAGGATCGTTCCGCTGAGGTGCTGAGAGAGCTGCAATTGTTGTCCATCAACCCTGCCCCCCCCCCGAGTCTGTGGCCTTGGCAGGTGCTAACCTAACCAACCTCTAAGTATGTCTCTGCCAAATTAAGATGTATGGAGGCCCAGGAGTAGTTCCAACAATAAGGTCTCCTAAATGAACATGCCAGTGGGAGGTTTCTTTCCAGGCCTTACTGCAGCTGCAGGGAGGTCTGATTTTGTTGGGCTTACTGTAGGGTGTGGGGTTAAAAACCTTGCAATACAGGATAACCCTGATGAAATACACTAATCCATACAGCTGGTTACTGAAAAAATATTAATTCATTAATTCACTGGCAACACTCAAAATCCATACAAAGTAGAAGACTCTTGATCACAAAGAAAGTCTAATCAGATCAAGTGAATCCATGGCAAGAATTTAATACACAACAACCCCCACTTTCCATTTCTTATTTTTTAAATTACTATTTCTGAATTAAAAGTTTGCTTTAATAATTATTCATTTATATAATGAAAGCATGTATCACAACAGGATACAATACTAGGCAAATACTAGGGGGTTATTGGGTTGCTTTTGTTTTTTATTTTGATTCTGTATTGTGTGTTTTTATATTGTGATTTTATCTTGTTTTCACTCTGTTTATCTCTTGGAAAAGCTCATTTGGTTTCTAAGACTGAGAGAATGAAGATTCAACTTCGCCTTTATACAGTGAAGTATTTAATATTCCATTGACTTCTTTCATCTCAGGACACAAGAGATAAACCTCTGGTGGATTCCTGGCAAGAGAAGTGGACCATAACTACATATTCATTTTTTATTTTTTAAAAAAATGATATTTATTACTTTTCGAACAGTTTCAACACAACACTACAAACAAAAAAGAAAAAGAAAAAAAGAACAATACAAATACAATACAAAAACACTGCATACAAAACAAAACAAAAACAAACAAAAACAATTTAAAAACACCTCAAACATTTTCAATATCTTATCTTTCATTAGCTTATTTCCAACGACCTCCTCTCACCTCCCTTTCTGTATTCCACTTCTATTAATTGTTTCAGCAATTCCTTTCCATCTTCCTCTGTTTTCTATCCTATAATTATCTTAACACATTCTTGGCTTATTTTTTCCTTTAATTTTCTGTTAATCTATTTATACTTAATTCCTTATAACATTTCTACTAAAGCCATATAACTTCATTCCAACATTCTTCTAACATTCAATAATTTTACAATATTTCTATAAATAGTCTTTAAACTTTTTCCAGTCTTCTTCCCCCGACTCTTCTCCCTGGTCTCGGATCTTGCCAGTCATTTCCGCCAATTCCATATAGTCCATCAACTTCATCTGCCATTATCCAACACTTCAGTGCTTTCAAGAAGCAACCATTCTCTCAGCCAGCAAAAAGCAGATGGTTCACAACAAAGTTTAGGGGTCTGGCAGGGCAAGTCCACCTCCTTCTTTGGCATCCGTCAATATCTTAAATTTTACTCGAGGCTTCCTGCCTTATGGCAGGAAGCATAACTACATATTCATAGCTGCTCCCACAACTTGCATTGTATTCCTAGAACTAGGCACAATTCTCAGCCCTGCTGCATCAGAATTCTTGGAATTCTGCATTCTGCTATTTTCTACTGGAAACTGCAAGTTCCTGCACTTGCAGGGAACGGCTAATAGCAGATTTCCCAAGCATGTCAACCAGGTCTTTTCTGAAATGGTTGAAAAGAAGACTCACAGATACAAAACGTATGGAAAATACTTGCAAGGGGAACTGCAACTGCCCACATTTCACAGATGCATGTTTGCTTTCCCATACTTCCTTCAAACATTACAAAAATAAACAAGAATTTATTTATTTTTAAGATATGCTGAAGCGCATTGTCATACCCTCAACCTGCCACCACCAACTAAACAATAATAAACCCACAGTTGACATATCATGGGAATTCAGGAGCTTGCCTTTTTCTGTAACACTCGAAGTATAGCTAAGACATATATTGGGGGGAAATTGTTTTGCCCAACCAAATTTCCATATCACTGCATTAAATTTGACTCCTACCTCTCTCCAGCCCATTTATCTGATTTTTAAGGGTATCCCTTTCGAATTCAGCATGAGTCTTTTGCTCTTCTACAGCACGTAATTTTCGCTGCATAACCTCTCTCACTTTAGAAAGTTTTGAAATCTCTTGACGCATCTGAGACACCTCATCTTCTCTCGCCTACAGAAAACAAAAGAACAGGAATAGAGAGGCAACAATTAGTAAGGTATATATCAACTTTTGCTCCTACTGCAATGTGTTGGGTGAAAAAAAATTATAATAGCCATTGTCATTTGCAATAAATGAAAATATTCAGAGCCCTGAAGGCTTTACAGAGCACAGCTTTTGTTTTTCATCCTCTTTTCTCTCTATCCTTTTTCTTCCGCTGCACTCTTGAGCTTTAGTACCAAGTACTCAGCTTGCCATCACTTGCCTAATGACAGCTGGACAGAAGAACTAACAGTGCACTCCAAACCCAAGATTCACCAGGATGAGTGCGTTTGGACTAGGAAGATCCTGGGCTGTCCTAGTTCAGCTGCTGTAACTCCCTGATTGTGGCTCAGCTGGGACTCAGCCTGCAGAACTCAAACGTATGCAGGGGTGGGGTGGGACAGGATAACAAGAGACGCTGATTCTTAACCTGTTAGTTCAGTCACATGACCTGGCAACTCAGCAGATCTTACACTGGCAAAAAGAGTGGTGCAAGCCAACATCTATTTTAAAGTATTATATTCCCTCTTCTGGGCTCTCGCTAATCAGCCAACAGTAGCCCCACTCCTGAAAAGAGTTTAGAATATTGGTAACTTATGCCAACAACAACAAGGTTCTATGGCATTTTAGGGTGTAATCCTATGCACCTGGAAGTAAGACCCATTAAACTCATAAGGCTTACTTTTAAGTTGACACTCATAGAACTGTGCAACAGAAGCTTTTGTAGGCTTGAGTCTACCATGTATCTGATGAAATTTGTGGCACAATTAATTTTTTAGCTTTTTAGGTACCAAAAGTTTCTTTGTTCATATCCAAAGGAAGATCATCGGCTGTAATAATAGCTTTTGATAATGACTTTTTTTTTTATAAACATGAACATAGATCAGAAAATAATCTTGATAGCCTGAAACTCTGAAATGGAATCCTTTTACTACACCAGATAAATATTTTTATATGCTTCTAGAACTTGCTTCCATTGTTTTAACCAACCAGGCCCCTTGGAAGCAAACACTTCATCAGCAAATGACTTCTTCTGTTTAGAAGAACAGGTTGTACATTACTAAAGCTCAATAAACTATTGGTTTTCTGTCCTTTTCTTTAACAGAAACCATGTTGTAACTGCAGATGTGTTCTTGATTGGAGATTAGACAAAAGAGATGAACAATGGCAATATCTTAGGTATATATAGTGCCTTTCATCTCAAGGAGAGATTGACCTATCTTGGAAAGGCAGGAATCTCTAAGATGCCACAAAAACAATATAAAAAACAGAAAAGGTCAGGGAACAAATTGGAATAGAAAAGAGACAGTAATAGGAAGAATAAGGTTGTATGAGCAGATTATGATGTCACCACTTCCAAAGTTTGGGCTATCCTGGATGTCAGTGCAATTCATGTGCATGTTTTGTAATGTAATTCTTACTGGGGGTGAGAATGTTCTGTCCCAATAAGAATTGTCTTTCCATAGCTGCTACTTGTGTTTCAAAGGAAGCCTCATGGCGATCAAACATCTAGACACATAATCTAGTAGTCACACACCTACCAAGCAGCCATTTTGTACAATGCAGTTTTGAAACTGGGATAGTATCTGATGTCATACTGAACTTACTCTCAGCTCTGTGGTTTTCTGCTGGTTCTCCTGCATGAGTTGATCAATGGCCAAAGTATGCTGTTCATTTTCTTGCTGGAGCTTGAGATTTCTTGCCGTACACTGTTCAAGTTCTTTTGTGGCTCTTTCATTCAGAATCTGTGGAATTGTGGCACAAAGCCATAAATGTATTTATAATATACTAGTACCACCCTCAGCTTCTACAAGGATTCTAAGGAGAAAAGAATTCCTTCACTTTTTTTTTAATCAAATGCCATTTACCACCATATTAGTAATGTATCCTATTTGAGAAATATGACAATTGTTCAGAAACTGGGAATGAGAGTGGCAGCTTCTAATGAATAACTCAGCGGGTATAATCTTTTTTGTAGGATCTTTGTAAGCCTCCCTCACAGGTAGCCAATAAATATTTTGATGCCTTATTGACATTTGGCAGTGTACAACACTTCCTGTAATCACTGCAAATGAGCAATAGAGTCAAATGGTTTTTATCAGCAATCATGAAAATAAATTATAACTCTTAGCAGACATATGCTACATTAATAAAAAGCAGGGACTATTATGAGATGGTAGACTACATATTGTATCACTACAGAAGATCCCAGGCTCAATCTCAAGCATTTCAAGGCAAAGGATTGCAGTTGGTAAAGCTGGTAAAGACTGCCCCTAAGACCATGATACACCACTGCCTGTCATAATATTGGTCTAGATGGGTTGGCGTCCGTCTGTCTTGGGAGACAATGGAAGAGTGCACCTTCAGGGGTGCCTGTCACAATACTAGTCTAGATAGACCCCAAATTTTTATATAAAGCAACTTCATATGTTCAACATGCTCATAATTACTTGAGTCCATAGAAGTGCATATTCCAGTGAAATTCAGTTACCTCAGTAGGATGGACAGAAAAGGGTAGCAAGACATCACTATCTGACAGACTGATTAAAATCAATACACACAATACATTCTGGGAGCAGAGAAGCATGTTAGTAAAGCAAACTTGGCGCCATTCTGTGGCTGCTAATAGCTATGCCAGGCCTGGCCCACAATTACCATTCATAATGTGTAAATGGATCACCACACTATTTTAAAATATTTTAAAAGGCCAATGCATTTGACAGAGACAATAAAATTTTCCTTTCAGTTCTGCATATACACTGAATCTGTGTTTGGTTTTATTAAAAACTTCATCTAAATGAACACCTGTCACAGACGTCTACCCAAATACACTCAGGGAATGGAAGGAAGGACTATACATTTGCATGACACAAGCAACTCCAGGAAGACTTTTGTTCCAGGAAGAAACTGCTTTACAATTACCAAACCTCTTTTACTGTTTACTAAAATTGCTTCTCATAGGGCTTTGCAACATCAGGGGAAATGAAGTGAAAAAATAATCTAGACCATTTTAAAGCCTGACCAGAAAAATGCTAAGAAATGATATTTTGGTTGTTAAAAATGAACACTTTGCACTCTGACAGCAACTTCTGTCTAAAGATCTTTACCAGCATTCTGACAGCTAACCTCACATCTCAAGTGACAGATAGGAAAATAGCATTGCCATGCTTCCCTATTTATCTGCAGGCTTCAATATTTCAGAGGGAAATGAGCAACAATTCTATGTTAAGAAATATACTAGTATGAAATGACAGTCTGGTGAGCCATGGCATCAGAGCATGAACACTGTTTTAGGCAGAAGTGAAAGTCCATTCTTATGTTTTATTAGTTTGAGGCAACTGCAGAAAAACATCAGCTTCTGCTACTCAAGCTGCATCAGTCCACACCGAGACAGTCATACACATGCTCTTCTCAGCCAAAATCAGCTTCTGGCCCAACACCACAAAGGTGGCAATGTGGAGTATCCCTTTGCACAAAAAAGCAGCATTCACACAATAATAAGTCAAATAATAAGTCAGCATAAGCTGATTTTCCCCCACAGATGCCATGCTGCTTAAACCAACTGTGTGTGAATATACCCTGAGACACTGAAATTTCCAAAGTGAGTTCTTGAAGACCTACAGAAACTAAATACATTCTGGTGAGTTTTCTGATAAAATTCATTTATATACAAGAAAATATGGCATATTCATTTTAATGTATCCACTAAAAAGGTTCAAACGCATCTGAATCAAGTTCATAGAAATATTCAGTAGAAAGCTAGTAGCCCATTTAATAAGACATAAATGCAACTACCAGTCACTATCCAGAGCTGCCACATTTTCAATGCAACTTTTTTTTAAAAAAGCAACAAAGGAAAGACCATAATTTCAAGAACTATCAACAGGCTCTTAATGGGTATTGCTAGACTCACATATGTAAAACTGTGTTATGTGCTGCTGGATAATTTTACAAACCAGACATGAGTCCCATCTTTAGAATCCTTCCTGATTCCTGCTCTCATATTTGTTCCTTGGCAGACCTCAGAGGAAACAGGAAGTACCCTGTCATCTTACAGTGGGGCAGGGGGTACAGTCCAGATGCTGTTGGATTGGGAGATGGGGTCCAACAGTAGGGAACCATGTTTGCTTCCCATGTTACAGGATCCCACAGTTAGGCATTCATTTATCTCATGTCATGTAACTAAAGGCTCACACTCAGAGATACTTTTAACAAACCCAAGGGACCAGGATGTAATTTTGTGCATGTGGCTTTATTGTCCTATTTTGCCACAAATCTTTAGAAGGCATTCTCAAATTACTTCAGTGCGAGTGAGGGAGCAGGTGGGATTTTTGTCAAAATCTACATTAGCAATATATGACCAAGAAAAAGAAAGTGTTTCGTTTCCCCAAGTGTTTTCATTCTCTCCTGAAAATCTGACCTTGATCTGAAGAGTCTATGTGTGTGTGTTTTTAAGGAAGTTCAATGTCAGACTCTACATTACCTTTTGCTCCTTGAGCTGCTGTTCAATTCTCAGGAGTTCCTCCTTGTTTCTATTCATATTCTGCTGCATTGCCTTCATTTCAGCCAATTTACTGTCTAATTCCATCTGCTGCTGTTTTAGTTCCCTCTCCATTTTTTCTTTTCTTCGGGCCTCCCTTGAAGCCTCATTCTGACGCAACTGGATTTCCTGATTAAGCTGCAAACAGCAATAGAGGAGGAAATGGCAAAAAAATATTTTTCTTTTAATCAGGGGAATCAGTAAGTGTATATTTTACCCACATATAAGTTCGGCATTCTACTTTTTGCTATTTAAACAATTTACACAGCATCTGGACAGTAAGGTAAAGGTAAAAGGTAAAGGACCACTGGACAGTTAAGTCTAGTTGAATTTGACTATGGGGTATGGCGCTCATCTCCACTTTCAGGCCGAGGGAGCCAGCATTTGTCTGCAGACAGCTTTTTTCGGGTTATGTGGCCAGCAAGACTAAACTGTTTATGGCGCAATGGGACACCGCGACAGAAGCCAGAGAGCACAGAAACGCCGTTTACCGTCCTGCCGCAGCAGTACCTATTTATCTACTTGCGCTGGTATGCTTTTGAACTGCTAGGTTGGCAGGAGCTGGGACAAAGCAATGGGAGCTCACCCTGTCGCGCAGGTTCAAACTGCTGACCTTACGATAGATAAGCCCAAGGTGGTTTAGTCCACAGTGCTACCCATGTCGCTACACAGTAAAATTGATCAGAACCCCAGCCAAAGTAGGGCTAATGAGATAAAGTCAATGCTTCACATGAAGAATGGAGGTGAGGGTGAAGCACAGTTGGTTAAGGAATGGTTTTGTGAAACAAAATATGTTTTAGGGAGACTTCGGGGAAGACAAATAAGTGATCTGATGAACAGAGAAAGGAATGTTTCAGGAGTGAGGGGCAAGAAAGTCTAGAGATCACTGAACACCCCACTATCTACCCCACAAACCCATATGGGCTTTACAAGTACAAGAAAGAAATGATCACAAAACTCAGATGGGATGCCAGATGGGATGCAAGCAAAAGGGATGGAACCAGCAGAAGAAGGAACCCTGGTTCTCAGGCTTTCCCCTCCCACTCTACCTAAAGTTAAAAACCTATTCCTCCCTCCATTCTGCCCTCTCCCCTGATGTCTCCCCTCAATCTAATCTAGATTATAAACTCAGCAGAGTAGGAACATGTCTTCTCAGTATTTATAAAGCAGCAGCTCCGGTTGGTGCAGATTTGGCAAACATTTAAGTCCCCTACAGAAGGAAAACTGTTCTGAAAAAGATATGTCAGAGATCAATGAAAGAGATTAAATGCACTGATGATGACTTCTCACCAACCCACCTGGAAAAGGTTTAGGAAGTAAAATAGCAGGTGGTAGTTAATAGAGACAAATTGGCAAGCTTTGAAAGCCTTCTAGACAAAGACAAAAGTGACAGCAAATAAGGTTTACACAGACCTCAGCAATGGTTTGTTCCGCCACAGTTTTTGTCATTTCTGCTTCGTGCTGTTGATCTGACATATTTGTTACATTTTCACGTAACTTTACAACCTCTGACAAAAGCTGGTCTCGCTCCTTTGTTACTTCTTCCTTGAATTTTAGCAATTCCCGCAGGCTGTGAAGGAAAAAAATATCTAAGTCAACTTCTCCGTATTCTCCGCAAAAGGTACTTTGTGGGAAATGATAGTGTAAAGATATAACAGCTTTACATGAAACTCCCCTTCTATTAGCTCACAAAACCTGTCAACTAAATTGCATGTCTGTGAACATTTACTAAAAACACCCTATTACTACTTAGTAGCAAAAATCATGACCCAGTAGTTTTTATTCTTCAGCTGAATTCATGATTCAAACTTAGTTCCTTCCAACCTAATGATCAGAACTCTAAACTGCTCTGCAGCATGTTCACTGTATGCCCACTCCTCTACTCCTGCCTTGCTGTTTTTTGGGTGTCTCCCTTTGGATTTGAATATGTTTTCTCAGCTAGTCTGAGATATTACATGACACATAAATGTCCAGGATCCAAGCGATGTACAGACAAGAACATAATCTGCCCAGGATATCTGGTCATCCGGCTTCAGCACCGTCGACCCTCCAAAGACCTTCTGACCAACAAAGAAGACTTCCCTTTCTCCCCTGCTGACCAGTATACTTTCCCACCTTTTCCATGAAGCGTTTGGCAAAGCTCTCTAGTTCCTGTGCCCTGCATTAACTATTAACTGTACAACTACAGTAGCACAGTAAATGAAACAACTACATACTGCAGTGCTAAAATTTAGATTGTCAGCTCCTCAAAGCAGGGACCCACAGGGAAGGTGCCATGTGCACTGACTGCTTATTATTGTTATTATCAACAGTAAAAGTTAGACACACTGAGTAACGATGAAAGACACTGGGTTCCAACTGAAAACCCATGTGGAAGGCAGCTTGAACTTATGCTCCAAGTATGTTGGCAACTGCTACGCTACTGTTACACAGGTGCTCCCAGCAGCAAACCTAAAATCACAAGATTAACAGTACAAGTTAAAGCTAATATACCAATACCAAATGGTTGTGGCAACTGCTTTCCCATCTACCAATCACACTGTTGCACACTAACAATTTCTTAACATTTTTCAAGGATTGTTGTTGTTTAGTCGTTTAGTCGTGTCCGACTCTTCGTGACCCCATGGACCAGAGCACACCAGGCACTCCTGTCTTCCACTGCCTCCCGCAGTTTGGTCAGACTCATGTTTGTAGCTTCAAGAACACTGTCCAACCATCTCATCCTCTGTCGTCCCCTTCTCCTTGTGCCCTCCATCTTTCCCAGCATCAGGGTCTTTTCCAGGGAGTCTTCTCTTCTCATGAGGTGGCCAAAGTACTAATCAATGCGGAGACTGAAGATGCCCCCATGGCCTAACATTCCCCAGAACATAAATCCTAGATCAGGGGTGGCAAGTGCTTCTGGGTTTGAAGGCCACATTCACCTTTGGCAAACACTCTGGGGACCACATACCAGTGGTAGGTGTTGGGAAAAATGTGTGTGGGCACACAGGCCCCCCCCCTATTACTGCCCTCTCCCCACTCATCATATGGTTGATCTGAAGACCAGGAAGAGGCAATTTGCATTCTCATCAGGGAACTGGACTTGGCCAAGGAGTTTAAATCTTTCTGCCCACCCCAGTGCCATGCTTCTTTTATTTTTACCACTGCTAAAATCAGTGGCAGAAAAGCTTGCTGGGAGGGGGCACATAAGGCATCCTGGCTAGGGGATAGACTGCTGTGGCTTTTGAATAAAATTTATCAAGCTATTCTGAGGGTGCAAACACACAGCTTTTCACACATGAAATATATTTTCCCACCTAAGAGATAATACGTGCAGGTTTTTGCAAGATTATTTGCATTATCTTTATCAAATGTAGTCTCAATGAATGGCAATTTCTCCCAGTCCTCTCCGGATGCAACTCACTTATGCTCCTGACCCAATGATAATCCAGATCCTTGCTCCACTAATTTAGTCAAGTTCACGATTTCCTCTTTAAGAGACAGGATGGTTTCCTTTGCTTTCTGCTCCTTCTCATAAGCTGCATCCACCATTTTCCAGGCCTTTTCGATCTCCTGTGGATGGTTAAAGAAAACAGTTTCATATATTTAATTAAAAATGAACAATTAGCTAATTAATTTTCCTCCAGGTTAATGAATAAAAGTTTTCAGCCTTCTTTCAACCTTTGGTCTTCATCTGTGTTCTGTTCTATTAGCCAATTCTGTCTGGCCAGTAAATATTAGTACTTTCAATTAAGCAATCCATACTTACTAATATGGAACATTATACCTAATTATATTGTATTTTCAAAGTTTTTTTTTTTCCATCAGCATGAATCTTGCTTAAAGTCCACTGGAATCCGTGGCCAAGTTTATCCATATTTTGCCCAACATTTCTATAATCATAATTTTAAAATCCAGCTTTTCTCTTAAAAATTCCAGAATGAGATGACAACTAAACATTCGGGGGGAAACTTTCTGACAGTAAGAGCTGTTCAGCAGTGCAACAGACTCCCACTAGAGGTGGGGGGCTCTCCTTCCTTGGAGGTTTTTCAGCAGAGGCTAGATGGCCATCTGTCATGGATGCTTTAGCTGAGATTCCTGTATTGCAGGGGGTTGGACTAGATGACCCTTATGGTAGCTTCCAACTCTTAAGATTCTATGATTCTATTTGATTCAAACAAGAAATTCAGGGGAAAGCTAGCTAATATTTTTAATATTTTTTGCTGATCTCATAAATGAGTAAACGTGATATGAATATTTGGGAGAATGAGTAAAATGCAAAGCAAGTTATGGTTAAGCTAGCCTGTAAACAATGTGGGTCAAAAGAAGGGTACTCAACCATGACCTGAAGCCATGTGTTTTGTCATAGAACTTAAAATCTACTGTTTGGGATATTATTTCCAGCACATAGCCAGGGATTTTTTCCCTTTCTTTGTTAACCATCATATACTAGTCCATCAAATCATAAAAGTATGGAGAGAGTTCAGGTAGTAAGAAGGTCATCCCCTTAATATCTGTGGCTCTTGGGTCAGGAAAGCTGCTTGCTACCACATCTTAGCTTCTTCTCTTCTTTTTTGGGACAGCTCAGAACGATAATTTGAGTAAAAAGGCAAGCACTCTAAAGGATTCTCATAAAGCTTTTGAAATGTGTTTTCATCTACCATATTTCTTCTATGTTCTATGCTCTCATACCACATCTCATTATTATGTAAATATTGTTTGATTTTGAAGTGATAATATTAAGCTTACTGTCCAGTTCAATAAAGCATTATACATGTAACTAACAATATGTTTAAGAACAGAAGAATTAGCCTCAGACGAACTATTTTTGTGTTTAGAATCTAAGGGCCAATCTAGATTTAGTTTTAAATGCAGCTTTATATTTAATATTCATTTCTTTAAAATGCAAATAACAGCCCTGCAGTGGGGTGATAATTGTCATGCTCACAGCAGGCAGTGAGATTTTCCTCTGCTTTAGTCCTGAAATCACCCATTTATGCTGGTGCCATAAAATTAATCCTGGTGCAATTCCATGTTTTAAAATAGTATTTAATATCCATGTAACATTTACATTTGTTTAAGGAACAAATTTGTTCAACAAAGCAGATGAAGGGGAAAATAATATTTTACAGGAATATTCCTTATCCCGTTGTTGTTGTTTATTCGTTTAGTCGTGTCCGACTCTTCGTGACCCCATGGACCAGAGCATGCCAGGCACTCTTTATCCCATTAAAACCCCACAAAATTTCATTGATGTTTTTTCTTAGCACTGCAGCCCCAAAGCAAGCCATCAAATAGATTCTACAGTTCTATGATATCAGTTATTTTTTACAATACTGTCATAATAGTTTCATTAAAATCAGTGTCACCTGCCTAAGTAAAAGGTGTCATATTTCACCTGCCTAAGTGAAAAATGGTCCAATCAATTAGCCTTAAGCTGCAACTTTACTGTACATTCCCAAAAGTTCCCAAAGGACCACAGTGGCACAACTGGATAATTTGGTGCATAATGTAATTGCTCATCTCATCTCCATACTCTTCCTGCTCTCATTGACATAGTCAAAGGAGTCTGTACACTCAGATGAAGGACATCTTAATACCCAAATGGGCTTTTGTTTTTGTCATTTACTTTGGCTAGAGCATGACTATACACAACATTATGAAAGTGTCCTCTTGTTTGTTTGTTTTATTTCAGATGGAGGAACACAAGGTTGTTCCTTTTTGTATCAGGGTAAAAGGACAAAGAAGTATTAATATGGTAAGATAATAAAATAAGCAGTTCAAGTATGACTGATTGAAGATACAAAACAAAAAGATTGCAAAAACCTGTTAGATCTACTAGAATTAATCTTATGCTAGCCCCTAAAATTAGATATATAAATACATTATATTTTTACCAAATTCACACTATAAAATTAGCACATTGTAAATGTAGGTTGTGTCGCTCTGAGCAGTCTGACATACGCAGTAGTCCATTTCCTGCATATTCTTTTAAACTCACTTTCAGCACTTTTGCTGTTACACTGTAAATGTGGCTTCTGTTGAAAACTAGAGGCATGTATGTGATGAAACAATCACACAATAGCTTTACCACATGCCAAACGTTGCATGGGTTCATTTGACCTACATTCCGAAAATGCCAGTTTGATGATGAACACTGACCTCATTAAAAACTTTTCTAGGAATGTTACAGAAGAAGAACAGGGGGAGTAGCAAGGACCCACAACTTCAGCATGCGTACACTACACATATACATTTACATTATACTCTAGTTTAACAACTGTTTCAAGTGACATGAGAATAAAGTCAATGTAACTGAATGTGAATGTATGGTTTAAATATGTATTATTAAATATTTAGCATAGGTGCCGTGCGTTTTTCTGCATAATCTGATCTTCCCTCTCCACCACAGATGATTAACAGAATTAGAAGAGCTGAGATCAACAGTAAAGGGACATCAACTTCCACTACAAACTGTAACTCACACCAAATCATCATACTAAGGATCATGAAAGTGCTAACATTTTACAGGTTCAAGACCTCCTATGGCCTCAGTTATGCATTTGTCATGTTTTGCTTCCTTTACCCTTTTCAGAGATGCTATTGTTGTCTGGTCATCCTGTGAGAGTTTCAGGGCAGTAGCCACTTTAGCCGAATTCACCACAATCTCTGCATTCAGTTCCCTGCATTTTGCCATGAGACGCTTTTCATTCTCATAGGACTTTCTTAGCACCGTGTGGAGCTTCTCATATTCCACGCGAAATTTCTCAAGGCTTTGATCTCCTGTAAGCTCATTGATGACTTCTTGGAAGTCTTTTTCCAACGCTTCAAAGATATTTTCTTCTATTGCAGGTTTGTCATATTTTTCCTGGATGAAAGGAAAGAAAGAATCTATCAGTCAGTCACCAAAGGCATCTTGATAAAGATAATGACATGTCCCAAGATATTGGTATAATAGCTCCAAGGTACCTCCTTTTGATTAAAACATCTGTGATTATGGCAACTCATACCATATGAAGCTTACATTCCATCCTATTTTAAATGCACAATCCTTTAGGCAAGCAGAGTCTTTTAAACATGACTTCAGCCCATCTATAAAGACTTACCATTACACAAAGTATCCAATTATAAAACACAACTTTTAAAGATTCCAGTGTTTATATCACAACTGCTGTCTTTGTTTTCATGATCATACGGTATATTCATTGAAGATGTCACTTCAAAGTATGCTGTTCTTCAATTCTTCACTAAGCAGTTACTTGGGATGGGGGAATCAACACCATTTCGGCCTTAAAATAATGCTAGGCTTATCAATACTTTGTAGTCCCAGGAAGTTAGAGAGTATATCTAGGACCTGGCAGGTTACAGTGCATGGTTTACATGCCACAGCCTGGAAGCATTTGTTTGACAATGTTTGTCCTACATTTCTGTACACTTCCTCTGAAACAACTATTGGAAACAAGATATTGAATTTAAGTTGGATAAACCACAGGTCTGAAGAAAAGAAACTGATTTGCAGTATAATCCTATGCATGTTTATTCAGAAGTAAGTCATTTTGAGTTTTTTACATTTTCAATAACTAAGTTGGTCTGAAATAAAAAACACTGCTATTTGTATTCAAAAGTAAGTAAGCCCCATTGAGTTTAATACAATTTACCTCCATGTGAGTATAATACTGCAGCCTAAATTATTCTTACATAAAATCACACAGATCACTAAACATCACATTTTAATAAATAGATAAGGAATCCCCAACCTTTTGGGGCTCAGGGCCATACTTAGAAATTTAAGAAACTGTCGTGGGCACCACATAATACCCATTTCTTAGAAGAAAAAACTGAAGATTCTCAGACTCTTCAAAGAAAGAAAACGGGCAAAAAGCAAAACACCTATACACATCTCAAAAAAATAAAAAGTTTTTTAAAACACCCCTAAAAAGACAATCCCTCCTAAACAAAAGAGCACACAAACCCTCGTTTCTTTAAAAAAAAGAGACAAGCAGAGGGGCTTGACAGGTAACTAGTGGGGAGGTTTCTGAGGAAGCTGTGGTGCACACAAATCCCACACCGGAAACCCCATCTGTAAGGGAGCCTGAAGGAGTCCAATGAGGACTCAATGACCACATAACGCTGACTGATTTGAGAGGTAAAAATACTGTACTGTAAACAGCCCCAACAATTGAATTTCTAAGAAGTGAGAACTGCCTACAAAAATAGAAAAATCCAATATTTTCACCCAGCCAGAACTGTGCACAAGTGTGTCCATCCCAACTCACAAAGAAAAATCCAAAATGGAGGGGGGAAACCCCAGAACAGTTCAATGAGAACTGAGCATGCTCAGTGGGCATGAATGCTGATCAACTGGAAGGAAGTGAGAAAGATGTGGAGAGAGGAGAACAGGATCCCATTTGTTTCAACTAATATATTTTAGCTATAGAAGCCAATATATCACTATTGTATCACCATGCCGCCACTGAGCCTATAGCACACAATATTGCACCTCACCATAAAACTATTTCAATTCACAATGCTTAAAATGTAATAGTATTCTCTACTCATGATAAACTACTTGCTGACAGAAAAATATGTGTGAAATCAAACGGAAGTAAAGATGTTTTGTGGGCTAAGGAGAGCAGTGAGGCTGCCTCTGTTTTATTCTCCCTGTCTGAGTTCATGCCAAACTCAGTTATTCAGCCTATAAAGCTTGGTTTATTGCCCCCCGTTTGCCCAGAGTATCAAGAAACACAGGCTGGGAACATTTCAATTAATAAAGGACAAAACTAAGGGAAAAGGCAACGGCTAGCTGAAATGACAAAAAGATTGTTAGCTACAAGGTGCATAGGACAACTGTACTAGAAGACACACAAAAAATGGCCTCTCTTAAAGAAACCCTTGCAGAATGTGAGGGGGGGAGAGAAAAATAAAGACTTGAGAGATGAAAGAAAGGAGGATTGAAATAATAACAGACATACAAAACAAGAGAAACAAAAAAGGAGTCATTTGTTTATTTTGAGTCTATCTATCCCACCCTTTACCAACTGTCCCCAGGGAGGAAGCTTTGACAGTAAAATATCGACAAATCATTAAAATAATCTTATATGCATAATGACTAAAATAGCATAAAGCATCCTTTAAAACATGAGATCAACCAACCAGTAATAGACAACAAACTTGAGTTCTCACTCCATCCCAAGTGCCTTAGCAAAGTTGTTATGAGACAGAGAGAGAAGGAAGGTAGTGGGATGAGGGAAGGGGTAAAAGCAGGAGGGGGCAAAAGAAAGATATAAGGAGGGGAAGAGAAAGTGAGCAGGTAGGGAACTACAAACAAGAGACAGAAAAGAGATCCAGACCGACAAAAATGGAATAGAGGCGGGGACCTTGGGATGGCTAGTGGTGTTAAATGCTTTCCGGGATTTTTTATTTTATTTTTTGGCCATCAACAATACACAAAGATTAGTCCACATGTTGATTTCTTACTAAACTGACAACCCATAGGATCAGCACATGTTCCACCAGTACAAAAGAGAGTTGGTGCCCCTGACGTTTTTTCTCTCCATTTCAAGTTCAGCGCTACAAATGTTTTTTGGAGTTATTGTTGTCTGCTCAAGCCCACGGGGGAAATGGTTGACAGGAAAGCAGTGAACACGCTTTAAAGAACAATCACCAATATACATAGAGAAGGCATTATGAGAACGAAAAGGGAAACTGAACATAAGAAGAACCCTGCTGGATCAGGCCAATTGGCCCATCTAGTCCAGCATCCTGTTCTCATGGTGGCCAAACAGACGTCTGTGGGAAATCAGCAAGAAAGGACCTGAGCGCAAGAGCACCACTACCCTCTTCCTGTGGTTTCCAGCAACTGGCATTCAGAAGCATTAGTGTCTCTGATCATGGAGGAAAGGAATAATCATTATAGCTAGTGCCGCTGATAGCATTATCCTCCATGAATTGGTCTAATCCTCTTTTAAAGCCACCCAAGTCGGTGGCCATCACAGCCTCCTGGGGGAAGGAACTCCATAGCTTAACTGTGCTGCATAAAGTACTTTCTTTTGGTGTCCTGAATTTCCCAACATCCAGCTTCACTGGATGTTCTAGTGTTATGAGAGGAGGGAGAAAAACTTTCCTCCAGTCACTGTCAGATGTCAGCAAGTGATAATTAGAAGAAAGGATAGTAAAAGGAATAGAAAACGAAATGGAGAATGATGACAGAGATAGAATACAGGGCAGGATGGAATACAGATGTGGGAGAAACAAGTTAAGAGAGTCATTCTGGGAAAAGAAGGGTAAAACAAATTAGACAAATTCATTGACAGGAATTCTAGGACACAATGATGGGTAGCGAAGAAGAACTGGGCATGGGAAAGTGTGGAGAGCGAAACGCTTAAAACAGGTGTATGATCAGACATGTAAACTATTCTGGAGCAATTAACTCAGAACAAAGTTCTACCTGGCTCCATCACTAACTCAGATTATAATCCCACTTTTTCACCATTCTTAAACCATACTACTTCTGCGTACAATAATGGTGCAAGGTAGTGAGAGAACATCCTTGAGTTCTGACGAGGAAATGTGTGGTGTGTGTACATACTCAAGGGGATGGGATGAGGGGTTTTTTTTGACACCCCATGTCTTTATAAAATAAGGTGAGAAAGGACATTGTCGTGAGCCTACCTACAAGCGTGCAAAGTTTAGATCTATGAAAACTGGCGAAAATCACGCTATCATGTATGTTACTGCGACTGGCAAATGAAAGAAGATATTCTTCTACTTCTTCCATAGTATTGGGGCGGGGGGGGGTGGAGGCAGCAGAAGGGGGACGTGGAAATACAGTACCTGAGAGGGCGCCCAGTAACCCTTGTTTCCTTTTGGGGAGAAAGGAGGCGATTCCTAGGTATGGATGGATAGGGGGAAATGTGTTGTTAAGGAAAGGTAATGAAGGGGAGGGGGAGCCCTAGAGCGGCGGAGGAGGAGGGAAATACGGAAGAGGCTGCACCGTGAGGAAGGGGCTCACCTCTGCCATTTTTGCAGCGGGTGGAGAAGTGCAGAGGCCCCGAGGTGAGAAGGGAGCGAGGACCCCGCGTACAGGCCGGGCGAGAGGGCCTGTCCTTCTCCTTGCTGCCGCGTTGCCGCTGTGTACACGGGCCGCCGCTCTCGTCTCCTAGCAACCGCTCCCCCTCCCTCCCCACGTTCGGCCGGGAAGGCTGGGCTGAGGAGAAAGGGGGCGCCCCAAAGAGGGAAGAGGGCCCTGAGGGTCTGTAGGGGCCTTGGAGTAGCGCAGGCAGCAGGCGGAACCCGCAGGGCTCCAGGAAGGCGCCTTCTGCTGAATCAGACCATTATTAGTCCAACACATCCAGCTCAGTGCTGCTGCTGCTGCCCATTGAGTAGCTCACTGGGAAACAGGGTTTTCCAGTTCCCAGCAAGTGACTACTATGGGCTCTCTCTTTCGTCCCATAAGCTGCTCAGTCCCTCATGACTGCCAATTCTCGTTTTTCTCTCGAATATTTCCGTGCTGCCGTTCAGGACTAAGCCCACCTCTGTACAATAAAACTAGAACTGCACTCTACAAAAACACAGCCCAACTCAACACACACCTGTGAATCTAAGCTAAAACAATGAAGAGGGAAACGGTTTTTAAACCAGTGGCAATGTAAAGCATTATATACAGTGCTTTTTCTGGGGGGACGCAGGGGTACACATATTTTGTGAATTAAGTTCATTGAGGGGCAGTATTTCAATATGGGTAGGAAAATGAGAGTACCCCTAAACTTCTTTTTTAAAAGAAAAAAAGCACTGATTATATATAAAGCATGGGTGTAAAGCATCAATTCAGCCCAACCTCTCAATTAGAAGAGTGCCAGAGAGAGGAAGGAAGCTCCAAGCCACAAATCCTGTTTCGTGAAGACTGAAGTGATGTAAATGTCTGATCTGGGATAGTGGTTTCACACATGTAGTTGTTGGGTGATGACCACAATATCAAGCTGCTTTTATACAGCAGGCACCTCCACCTCCAGACTGTCACTATTTTCTGATGGGAGTACATCAATTAATTCGGTAATTAATTGATTGAGAGGTCTTGCACAACTAGCCTGCTTCCCCACAAAATCAAACTTTTTGTTATAAGGAAAGTGACAGGAAAATGCACTGGAAAGTGCAGGATAACACTTGCTTGACTCATCATCTAACCTCCCAACAAACAGAATCAGAATGAATGCTGAATAAATAGCTGTCATTGTCTAACCTCTGTGCAAACAAATCAGTCCATAATGACTGATAGCAAAGGGAACAACATTCCAGTTGGCAGCAATAGGAACATTCTGGCATAGTTGGAACACCCATATTCTAACTCCAGTCGTCACTAGCTGGGACACCAACACTCAATTTTGCATTGCTGAATGTTCTTCTATGCTATAATATACTGCCTCCTGCAGTATGTTGCCAACATTTCAAATTAGGCAAGCCTGTGAAATGGCAGGCTGTGTACTCCTCAGTACCTTATGTGTTCATTTACATGCGTGTGCACTGTGATTAGATGCATCCACTACCGTAAAACCTATTCACAACACATAACTAGAACTCTAAATTCTGTAGAAAGCATCCGCATGTATGGAAGTCTCCCTCCCCACTTCAAAAGATCATGGAGATCAAAATTCAATGCATGGAGGGCTGTAAAGATGAGAAATGTGACATACTGCAAGGTGTAGAGTTTGCCAGCATACCCTCATTCTCCCTCAGTTAAGGGAAGTAAATGCCCAAATAGAACTCCTGACATTTAATTCCTAGGGCGGGCTGAGGGGAAAAGCTGAAACTCGAAGAAAAACAATTCCATGTGTATGGTTGCTAATAAAAAGAAAAAAGCCTGCCCCAAAGCAAAAAAGGGACAGTGATTTACTAAGGATAACTACCAGAAAACCAGGGTTGTCATCTCTAATAAATAAAAATAACTGGAATATTGGGATTAGCTGGATCAGTCACCTACTGAAACCCTTTTGGTTGCTGAGTGAGCAGTGTTTGGCGAGTGAATCGTGGTTAAAGAGGAGGCTTATTTGTTGCAGAGATGCTTATGGGTAAGAAAAATAAAGTTATTTATTGTAGGAAGTGCATAACTTGAATGGCACATTGTCTAGCTCTAACTGGTCTAGAGAAGATTGAGGCAGCCTTGCTTGCTTCTTTGTTCTCCCAGAGAATAGTTAAAGATGACTTCACATCTTAAGGTTCAAGAGAGAAGTGTGAGGAGGAGGAAGTTGTAAAACAAGATGCAACCTGAGAATATCAGTCTAACAACAAAGAGATAGAGAGGTCGGATCAAGAGGTTAAAGTTACATGAATAATATGAGAATCTGGATGACCCTAACTCTTCTGTGTTAATCCATGCAAAACCCCTCTGCAAGCTGCGTTGCACACAGACTTCCAACATGGAGTATATGGAGGAATGGAACATGGACAAAGTTATGTTATGTGACTGTGCTATTGCATCACATTAACATTTATTTGGGGGAATTCTTTGGGGGAGTCCTCCGTGCTTAATTCTAAAAAAAATAAGGACCCAAAAGTTAGCTGTGCCAGAAAACGATGTCCTCTAGAGGCCTTCTCTATTATCCCACAGGCACAAGGACTGATTGCAATTGCTCTGTGCCCTATCACTAGGAAGAGTGGTTGCAAATTCTTAGTTATATATTATTGCTATATTTTCTGCCAGGGAGGAGCACTGGTGGGATTTTCTTGTCTTGGGTGCCAAAAAACTTCACCAGCCTTGAGGACTATGCACTCTGCCTTGGTTGCAGGGCCCTATTTGTTGTTCTGCCTCAGGCAGCTAAATGTCTTGGGCTGGCCTTGGCTCTTATGTGCAATAAAAAATGTACACTTCATATCTTCAGAGGCATTGTTTCTTAACCCTGGCTCAAATTAAGCATTGGAGCAAGGGAAAGATTGGATGAGCATGGAAAGAGATTTCTCTGCTGCAGGGAAGATTATTCCAGGCAGGAAAGGCTGATTGTGAAGGTGTGATGGAAACTACTGGAATAAATGGTGGGGGGCAGGACTTAATTTGAGTGAGTAAATAGAGAACCTGGTTCTGCCAGAGCTCAGTGCTGGAACAAATTCAATTCAGTTTAACTCCGCTTAAACACAAGCAGCCAAGTATAACTGGATAACTGTGGATCAAGCTATAATTAACATTTATTAAATGGCTGCATACCCAGTGATTATTGCGTACACATTAGCTGCATAACCAGAATCTTAATTTATGTTTATTTTTATATATCTCAGAATCTCTCACTTTCACTGAACTGTTTGCCTCCCTTCCATTCCAGTCACAGTGAAACTGAACCCACTGAAGTGAATTTCATTAAAATCCATATGGCTCAACAGATTAGTCTGTTAATCAGAACCATTTCTTCCTATTTTCTTGCTTTGCCCTCTCTTCTTCTGTCCTCTCCTTCTTTGCAGATGTTTGTCAATATTGTCTCTTGGATAGATGTATCTGCATCTTCTGACTTAAATAAACATAACAGCCTCTGCCGATTTGATATTGGTGACAGGGCTTATCTGCACTGCAACCAGCATTCAGCCGGAACAGAAAATATCTGAGAATCAGTGTAGGCACTTCTATTATTGCACTAAAATTAAATTGCACCAGTCCAAAGAGAATAAGATTCCCTCTTCAGACTAAGGCACTGCAACAAGCATGCAGGCAGATTATTAAGGCTTACTTTTGTTCCTATAATATTACTGTGCTATTAATTATCTCTGTGGTAAATGATACAGCCACTGAGAACGGTTGTAAAAAACTACAATGGCTTTCGACCCTGTATCTTCTGCTCTTTCTCAACAAACCACAGCGTGCATATATGTGTCTGAATGTTCTCCTTTGTGCCAGCAAGGTTTGTAAGCATATGAAGTACTGCAAACATGAAGTATTCCAAGATACGTGACCTGGCATAAAGCAAATGATCTATGCAGGCTGTGGCTTCTTGAGAAATAGCTGATGATGTCAAGGCATATAAGAGTAGATGAATAAGTTATGTTAAGATTATTACTAATATGCATATGTGTTATATTTAAGTTATTTTTTTCTTATTACCTTGTGCTTGACCGTAACACAGTATGCATTGATTATATGATTAAACAGAAAAGCAATTTTTAAAAAGAGAGAAATAGCTGATGATGCAATGTCAATGTGTTATAAACAATGCAAAGTAAGCGATCAAAAATATTAGCAATATTTTACAGCACAGATATGGCCAACAAAGTTCAGACCAGTTTATGTGATTACTTGGTGGATATATATGTTTTACTAGTTTTGTAATCATAGCGTTAAGGCAAAAGTTTAATGCCTCAGTTGGATTGCAGTGGCATTGAAGCAGAAAACTGTTCAGGGGCTTCAGGGGCCATTTCTAATACATATACAATGAAACCTCTCTACTGTCTCCTCACCTATAAACTCTGTTGGAAGACAGGTTACCCAGGAAACAACATTTGCTTATGCATTGTTATAATGAAGAAAAGCACTAGATGGCACTATACAACCATAATCTTACAGTGGAGATGCTTAGTTTTTGCCTAAATTCTATTTTTTTAAAGAGTAAACTCATTCCAAAGCTTTTTTCTGCTCCTTTTCCATTTCAATTATATTCACCTTGTGATCTGATCATGTTGTGTGATGTCTGCTGAATCTTAACAATCTTAACTATTACTATCAGGCTACACACAGCTGTTGATAACTATAGGTTTATTAACAATTTTAAGGTTGTCTGCGGTTTCATGGGAAGTAAGACATCACAAACTCACATGGAAAAGATATGTAAATTGCATGCGGCCTGCCCATCCCCATTGTCCCCACTGGAAACCATGAAGGTTAAATTTAACCATGAAGGGCAAGCATGCAAACACTCACTCACACCTTACACTAGCCACCTGCGGCCTGCCCTTTAAAGGAGAAATTGTGAATTGCAGAATTTTAAATACCCGTCATCATCCTTGGCTTCACTCAATTTTGTGTACAACACTCTTCCATTTTTTTCTAGTTGTGAGGGTGGGGGTGGGGGGTAGGAGGAGGAGGAGAAGGAGGGGCCTCACAAGTGGAGTAGCCTAGAGCCTCTCTTCATCTAAATTTGGCCCGGTTCACTGTCCCTCAGACCTTGGGGAGGGAGCAG